ATAACTAGTAAATGGTTATCTTAGATATATAACTAGTAAATGGTGTATCTTAGATATATATAACTAGTAGATGGTGTATCTTAGATATATAACTAGTAGATGGTGTATTTTAGATATATAACTAGTAAATGGTTATCTTAGATATATAACTAGTAAATGGTGTATCTTAGATATATATAACTAGTAGATGGTGTATCTTAGATACATAACTAGTAAATGGTGTATTTTAGATATATAACTAGTAAATGGTTATCTTAGATATATAACTAGTAAATGGTGTATCTTGGATATATATAACTAGTAGATGGTGTATTTTAGATATATAACTAGTAAATGGTTATCTTAGATATATAACTAGTAAATGGTGTATCTTAGATATATATAACTAGTAGATGGTGTATTTTAGATACATACCTGTTCATCTTTAGTCTTCTCGTTCCAAACACTTACCGACAGAAAGTGTCTTACGTTTAGAGACATACACAGTTTTATAGTGATATTTATCTAAATTATTATTTTTTTAAATTACAGGTTGCCAAGTCTAAACACAATTTTATTTTTATTGTTTGTTTTTAGTTTTTCTCGTCCCTTTGGAAGTCCAACTTTGTCTCAAGCATCAAACACGTCCGACAATGATCAACTTTCGATCAGAAATGGATACTGGTCAACAAAATTCTGAAGGATAGTATTATCTGAAAAAAATACGTGGTTCATTTAATTTATCGTGCACTGTTTTATGCCTGAGACTTCACAAAGATAGCATTGGTAACGACGGTGATATTTGAGCGTGACGATTAAGTGCCCGATAGATGACGTTTGATAAAGTTAAATACCAGGCTTTCAATTAAGTCTTGTGAGATTGACAGGTGACTCAGATGTTTGTCGAAAATAAATACGTGATAAGTTATTAATTGTAAAATTTTTAAATATTTCTTGTTGTAACTTTCATAGTTAAAAATATCGTCTTGAATGAAGATCTACTTCATTTAGAAATCAAAACAAATAATTTATCTCAAAATAAATACGATTTCGGTCTCACCGTGTTTACGTTATTTAGTTTGTGTGATCTCCTTTTGGGATTTTACTCACAATAAATACGATTTCGGTCTCACCGTGTTTACGTTATTTAGTTTGTGTGATCCTTTTGGGATTTTACTCACAATAAATACGATTTCGGTCTCACCGTGTTTACGTTATTTAGTTTGTGTGATCTCCTTTCGGGATTTTACTCAGAATAAATACGATTTCGGTCTCACCGTGTTTACGTTATTTAGTTTGTGTGATCTCCTTTTGGGATTTTACTCAAAATAAATACGATTTCGGTCTCACCATGTTTACGTTATTTAGTTTGTGTGATCTCCTTTTGGGATTTTTACTCACAATAAATACGATTTCGGTCTGACCGTGTTTACGTTATTTAGTTTGTGTGATCTCCTTTTGGGATTTTACTCAGAATAAATACGATTTTGGTCTCACCGTGTTTACGTTATTTAGTTTGTGTGATCCTTTTGGGATTTTACTCAAAATATATTATCTCACATCATTAAAAAATCTATTAACTTTATTATAAATTAATAATCGGCAAACGAATAAATGCCAAAAATCTTTGTTTTCTGTTTACTGCATAATTGTAATTATAAACAGTTTGAATGAGTTTCTACAATCTGTAAAGTATAAAAGTACGATTTTAAATTGTGCTATGTTTTCAGGTAATTTTACACTAGCATCCATACATGCAAGAGCGCCATTAGCTGCCGAAACTACTCAGGGCTTTGGCCTCGAGAGGCAGTCACCAGGTCTGATGGTTACGGCGTTCAACGCGTAATCTGCGGATCGCTGGTTTGAATCACATCTTCGAACATGTCTTTCTATATCAAGAATGAATGCTCAGCATCTATAGAAATTTTGAAAAATAGGTATATTAACTACGAGGGTAGGAAACACAAGATTAGCCTGCTTACCAAAAATACTATATGCATATTCTCATGTGAAATATTTCTGTAAAGTTGAAAACTCCAATACTTTCTTCTGGTAGGTCAGATGATACTTTGAGGTTACTACTGCCCTTATTTTCCAGTGAAAACAAGCACTCTGGGAAAATATAGCATTATTCTTTCGGGTATATAATGATTTTTATTTTCAGTCTGAACCAGATTTTAATTCTCCATAGAGATCTCTGAAAGCTGCATCATTAGTTCAATACATTTGCTTCGATTGTAAAATGTTTTCACTTGTTTACCCTGTGTCCGTTTTATTTCATTTTTCATAACTATGCATATTTTTTTTGTTGAGCCTTTTTTGCTATTCTCTGAATCATACCCAAATACTCGTAAGAGAAATCAGTATACACAAGAATACTATAGATGTCACTGCATGTTGAGAAATTGATCTGGTTGGAAAAAATCGCGGTGCTTTTACCAGGACTTGATATTGTAGTTTTTTCTTTTTTCCTGTAAAGTATACACAGGATGGCATACATTATATTAAAATAATTTTGAATGTGCAAATAGATAACTCACGTGACAACGGCAGCTGATATGAAGTCACGGTGGAATGGAATGTATCAGAACTAGGAATGCACGGGTCCACGGCCGGTTATTGGGCTACCAGGTAATATTCGGCTACGGCCGAGTGTCGAAGTTAAAAACAGTCGAATCCGGGTAACTGAAAATGGCATCTAAGCTCTAATATTTGTGGCAACTTACGCGGTACTGAAAGTTACACTCAATGATTGGTTAGTTAAAAAAACGTGTTCCGCGCAACAAAGACTGAGCGCCCGCTGAAAGTTGGGGATTTAGAGAACAATAGAGGTTAATAACAGGTATGGCTTGAGAAGTGGATTTCTGGGGAAGGTGGGGGTTTTGAGAACAATAGAGGTTAATAACAGGTATGGTTTGAGAAGTGGATTTCTGGGGAAGGTAGGGGTTTTGAGAACAATACAGGTTAATAACAGGCATGGCTTGAGAAGTGGATTTCTGGAGAAGGTGGGGGTTTTTTGAGAACAATAGGGGTTAGGGTTTGAGAAGTTGGGGCTAAACATTAATCAGAATAATGATTCTAAAACGTGTCAACGTCACCGTTTCTGAGTTTACTTTCACTGGCCTCAATTTAGGAAGTAAAATAAAGCTCGATTTCCCACAATGACCAGGATAGCAAGGCCTTATCTCTCCGCACCTCAGACCAGTGTAGATGGCGAACAGGCTTTTAGCGCCGCTGGCAACACTATCACACATGAAAGGTCAAGACTTTTACTCGAAAATGCCGAAATGATACTGTTCCTCAAATACAATTTAAACAAATTCCAAAAATACAGGCATTCTGCAAACTGGTGTGCACATTTTTGTCAGTTGATTTGAAAGTAAAACTGGTATGTTCTATTGGTGATTATTCGGTTAAATGTAATAAATACCAATTTTGTTTATAATTTTTGTTGTTGTTTTTTTTGGGGGGGGGAAGAGAAACGAGGGGAGAATTCGGTCCCAGTTGACACCCTGCTCCGGTCGAAGCTTAGTGGCTGGGTACCTGGACCAGTATTCGGCCAAATTTTACTACCCTTGCATCCCTGATCAGAAATACATTTGGAAATGGCATTTATAGGTAGCTGATGCCTCACAAATTGATCACTTTTGGAAGGGTATGTAGCAACCCTTTCTGGCGCAAAATAATATTCATACGCTCAGGTAGAAAGTTTAGAATTTACAAAAAAGGGATATCCCTTGTACTTAATAGCATTAGAAAACAAAAGAATATGTATCAACTTGGGGTACCAGCAATATACAAAAAGGGACCTGCAACAAGTCATACACCAACCATAGTAAGCAAAGTGTAACATCTTATAACATATGAGAATCCACGAATACAAAGATCAGGCAACACAAAACAGCATAATCAAGAATGATCTCCATATGTAAAAGTAACACAAGTCCTGTACACAAAACTAGCATGTTAAACATATCCACTCGAGTAACACGCATCTCTTGCAGCTGAAGAAAAAATGGGTGTTGTAATGTTTAGATCTAATGTTTCATATTTAACAGGAAATATCAGAATTACTCACAGCAACAAGTACTACACGCCAATGGTCATTTTCACTTAACATAATGGAGGCCATCATCTGGCCCACCAGTGAAGGACACTGTTGTCGTCTTTATTATTTTACCATGTGCATCATTAAAACAATACCCCAATCAGTGAAACAGGCATTATATATAGAGGACACAAATACAGCTAGAACAAAGTCAAGTTAACAGTCTTCTGGACCATGAATTATGTAAAACCTGCATAGACATATAATTAATCAAAATTTTGAAAAATGACAAGGTAAAAAATGCATGATATTTATGCATATCACAGAGCTGCTCTTGGAAACTCCATGGAAGAAATGTTTTTGCCATAACCACAGGTACTTATGAGCAAGGCTAAACAAATATCTTCCCCAATGTTGAAGGGTGGGGTTGAAGAGGAGTTACACCATTTCTAATAGGTCTCAGGAACAAGCAGTGGATTGTTCTTGAGTTTGGATGGTCCAGTCCTGTATTCTGTTAAGCACTTGAAAGAAGAGAAGTGCTGGAATAGTTGTAGTCAAGTTGTTTCACCATTTTGACCTGATGAAGAACAGTGCTTATCTATTGGGTCGAGTTCAAGGCTTGAGAGAGGGGCCCTGCCAAGAGTTTTGACACTTACGTAGATGATTTGTGCCATAATTATGGGAAGGCATACCATGCATTGGCTTTGACAGATTGTGAAGATATCCTCGAAAACAAGTTCATCAAAAGACTACCTAATGAGGTGATGAGTTATCATTTAGGTATGAAAGGCCTTCTCACACTGACAGAGGGAATTTGTGTCATGATTAGGTTTTAAGCTGTGGAAAAAGAAGTCAGTACAGTCTTGTGCAATAGCTTTAACTCAAATAGAGCACTCTCCTTAAATAAGACATTGTGCTGATCTAGTTTCACAAAAAACATATCAGCAACCAAAACACCCCAGTAGTGCAAATCAGTCCCACTGGATATCAGTAAGAGGGCACGACTTCCTTGGCCCTCCTATTATTTTTTATACCACAACTGATGATGCCTCCATATGGACGTCACTTTGGTGGTAAGGATCAAAACACTTGCTTCAGGTTTGAGCAACTAGGCTTCCTTTAGGTGTAAGCAATTATGTCACTTCATAGTGAACTGTTTGTACCTTTCCATACAGTGAAGTAGATGAGGTTATCTGTTTTGACCAATTGCACAGCAGGTGCAGGAAGGTCAACAGAAAGCTGTACTGTTGCCACTTTGGCTCCAGCAACTTAAAGAAGTCCAAGTCTGGCCTAGGCAGCATTGTGTGGGATTACAGTGTAAACCTTGTGTAGAGTCTTGGTATGTGCCTATAAAGGTACAATGGTGACAAACAGCTCTAAGTTGATTCATGAGCTGCCATAATACTAGCTGATCTTGCTCTGTGCCAGACATTTTTAAAGTGAAACCACCTACTTTGGCCATTTAATATTGACTTCATTTTGGTAAATGGTGATAAGATAGATGCGAATGAAGAGGCGTGTCTCAGGCTATGTCTATGTGATATCAGCCACATATAATGAATTTAGTCATCTCTGACCTTGTTTCTGGAACTGGTATTCTTGGAATTATGTATTGTGGAAATTGCTGGTCAGTTTTGCCCATGCAGGTGAACTGCATTTCCATGCATAATCATTCTGATCCTCGCTGACCAGGCCCATGAACAGTGGACAACACAAGTGTATGTTGTGTAGAAAGTCACAGTGCCTCCATGTGCCCATGCATTGTTCCATACTTTACTACAGGTAAGGCCTAGAATTTTGGTGTCATATAATGTGGTCGTATAGACAGTTCAGAAATGCTAGTTTTTTTTTCTTTGTCCAGAAAGAAGAGAACATAAGCTGAACAATTTCTGTCCAATAGGGAATGAAGTCCCAGTGCTATTCTGCAATTGTGAGCAATCAGGTATTTAGATTTCTACTGGAATGGTCATCAGCACAGTAAATAAACCAGTAGTGGCCAAGACTAGTGATATTACTGGTGTTGGTTCTGTCATGGTTCATGCAAGAGTAGATACATGGTTGCCACAACATCCAACATTGCTGGTTGATTTTGATAGTAATCTGGATTCAATACAGCAGCAGAATCTCAGTGGCTTGTTGGTTGCATTTGAAGGAGCAGATAGCTGATTGGATAAAATAGATACAGATGATGCAAATTTAATTAAACAACTGTTGTGCAAGGTTCTCTGGACTACTATGGATGTAACCAGTGCTTTCACAGAGTGCATGTAGTGATTGTCAGGAAGGAGGGTAAACCTAATATTTGTTTTGATTGTAGATGGGTGAGCAATGTTACCCACATTGATGTCCTTCCACTCCCATAAAAAGATTGATGTCTGGATGCACTGGAAGGTTCCCAGTTTTTCATCACTTCAGACCTAGCATCCAGATATTGCCAAGTTGAAATGGGTGATGAGAACAGACCTGTGATTTCTTTCACATATCATGCCTTTCAGCACATGTAATTAACCCTCCATTTTTGAGGGTTTAAGGGAGCTTTTATTAAAGGGGTCCCAATGGAAATAATCCATGGTCTTTGTTGATGATGCCTTAGTGTTTGGCCACACTTTTGAATCTACTGCAGAAAATTGGAGCATGTTATTTCAGTAAATTAGACAAGCAGGCTTGAAGTTGAAACGAGGGAAGTGTGTGCTCGTGCATATGCAGGTGGAATTTTTCACTTACGTTGTGGATACAGATGGAGTTTATATTAATCCTGCAAAGATTGCAATGGTGCGAGACTGGCCTCCTGATGACTAAACAAGAAGTTCCCAGTTTCCTTGGTTTTGCATCATATTATGGACGTTTTATGACCATATTTTACAAAAAATGCTGTATCATTAATTCTTAGCATGATGAAACAGTATCTTTCTAAATACTGATGCCGGCATTAGTGAAATTGGGGTGGTGTGAAAACCTGCCTGTTCATTGAATGCTGGATGCTAAGTAGGAGTTAAAGGTTTTTTTATTTTTCACAAGAGGTGAAATTGAAAAGAGAATCTATAACATAGAGGTCTAAAGTATTTCATGATTGGCTTGTACCCTCTACTGTTCACTGCAGTTTCACCTATTCAAGACTCACCAGCACAGCTTGGGTCAGCAAACCAAAGAAATACCATTAGGTCTCTATATAATGGTGAAGAGTATATAATATCTATGGGGTTTTGAATCTGTTTTACTTCACCATATAGTAACCTATATTAATTTAGGTATGTGAATAATGTTATGACATTTTGTCGAATTCATTATTCAATATTATAAGAAGAGCTTCTGGCACTTCCCATATTGGTTAAAATAAATAATATTTTCCTCAACCATACTGTTATTTTCAAATCTTATTAGTGAGTCTATGGCAGAGAGACTAAATCTGCTGTATATCGTAAAGAGAGAGACAAGCCACAGCCAGTTTTATAAGATTTACTACGAATCACATCCATGTTTACACCATCAACATACTCGTGAAGAGCTCAAATACAATCGATTGCTATGAGAACAAAGGCAACCACATGGAAAGTGGACAATGATGGATAAAACCATGAAAAAATGAAATTTTTTTACTTGAATTTTCGTGATTTGACAATAAATGTTCACACATTGATGGCCAATTTTGCAAAATATATATATATATTTTTATTGTTTTTTACTTTATCTTAGATAGATAAAATATATTTTTATAATCTTATTACTAGGTTTAAGGGTTTTTTAACAAATGTAAAAATGGACACAAACTGATCTGTAAGTTAATCTCTCATGAACACCACACATTTGCTTTTAGTAAATTTAAAAATACTGCTACAAGACACTTCGAAGTCAACCAAAATGCTGTTTAGTGTAGACAGGAATTGGCTGAAAACACATTTAACACAACCAAAAATCAAGTGGCCTGCAAGATAATTACATCAGCTAGAATTTCCTGGTTAAAAAATTGGTTGCTAACTCATTTAGGAGCAAACTTATAAGTCCAAAAGTCACAAAAAGTTGCTTAAATATGTAAATTTGTTTAGATAAAATTCTGTTAACATACTAATATGATTTTTCTAACTTTCATTTATTTTGATCAAATATGAAGTTTAAACACTACTTCAACTTCATTACTGAAACAGTTGTGTACTGTCATGAACGACAGAAATATTAATCAAATGGTTGGTAAGCTATAACAATGATAAATTAAACAATTAAAAATTGACGTTTAAACCTTTCACATACAGGTAATGGCAGTTTTGAAAACAGAATTGTTTTTTCGCTTTAGATTTTTTTTTCGTAGGCAATAGATAATTCATCTTCAAATGCTAATATTTGTAGCCATCTCAGTTTTTACACCGATAAATTCATCTTGGTCTTACAAGCAGACTAAACATCATTCAGATATTTTCATCGTATCCACAGATATGGGACAAGACATATATATAAGATATAATGGGACCATACAAACCTAACCATGAATGTGGAATAACAAAGGCGTGATATCCAACAAGAAAAAAAAAATCACTTGTTATTCCTCTTTTCAGAGATAAACTAAACAAAAACTATTTGAAATGGAAAAACTGAAAAAATAAACCAAGCAAAAGGAAAATATATACACAAGTTTATTTGATTTTACATATAGTTAGAAAAAACTAATTTTTTATTGCTGCTTTTTTTTTCATACACTAAAATGGTGGATGCCAATTAATTACCAAAACTTTTTGAAAGATGAAGAAAACAAGAATCTTCTCTGTAAGAATGAATCTGGATGTTACGAGGCTTTCAGTGGAAACATATTCTGCATCTTGGTTGCATTCTTTCATTCACCTTTACCTCCTTCTTCCTCTCCTGTAAAATACAAGTCTCAAATGATTTATCAAACAGTAAAAAAATATCCTATTAATTCTAAAAATTAAATTTTTAAAAATAACATTTTAACACATACATGTTACAGATTTTGATTATAAACACATTTTATGGTATTCAAGTTAAGAACCTTTTTTTAGTTCAGTTACAATTATCATTTAGTTCTCATGTTTTAAAAAAGAGATCAATAATAAGATGAATACACCTAAAACAGAAATACATAATCAGATTAGTTTTGCATTTAAAAGAAAACTACAAGTTATGTTATTGCTTCTAAGTAAATTACTAAACATATTTATAAAATAAAACAATGTATTTCACATAACAATATCTTGTCAGTGTCATGTAATACCTTCATTCTTTATAGGCTGAAACTGTAAAAAAAAAAGAGCTAGGTGTCTTATCAGCCAAGCACAGAAAGAAAAACAATCTGGCCAAATATATTTAATTTTCAAAATGTAAATAAATTAAGTCTGATACTATTTCCAACTTTCACTAACCAAAACTTATATATATATATACATATATATATATATATATGTATAAAATACTGAACACCATGCAATTCTAATACAGAAATACAAAATGGCAACAAACAAATCAGCAATAAAAGAGAACCATGTTAAATTTTTCTCAAAATTTGCAAGTTGAGTTAACATGTGGTCCCACTCCCAAAATGTTTTTTTACACAGTTTGGCTGTTACTTTTATGTCTATCACAAGTAATAAATAACTTGATGTTACTCATATTTAGATATGCCCCACTTTTTAAAATATTTATAGCCATGAAAAAGTACATAAATCTTAACCAACTCTGATTGAAAAAGTTTTAATACTATTACTACTCATTTCCTTATTTTGTTGTATCTAGCTAAATTTCAGCATTTTAATCTGTTGGTACTAGGAACATAAAAATTTTTTGACCTTCATTAGTCTTTGTATTTGTATATTACTTCCCACTGTGTGGTTGAAATTGTATTAATCAGGTCAAAATATTAAGATTTTAATGTGGAAGTGTGTGTTAATGATTCTTATGTAAATTAGATACAGAAATACACTGTTTGTAGCATATGAATAGAATGGTATTATTTGAGTGACACCAAGGTGCTTTATTTTGCTGTATTTATGAAAAATCACCTATTGTCTGAGTTAAAGTAGAATTTTATGCACATTATCAAGTGTGTTATCTCTAAGGGTGATGACTTTGGAAAAAAAAAAAGGTCGGTGATATCATGTTCCGAGCTGAGCTGTGTAAAATGAACTCTAGGAACGAGAGTTGTCAGATAAAGAGGAGGAGAGTATTTTTAAATTATTATTAATTAATATTCCTTCTCATTCCCTGATGATGTGGTATTAGATGGCATTGCTCAAGTTGCATCATTTTATTTACGTACTTTAGAACTGAATAAGCATTCAGTTTATATTCTAATTTACCTAAGAAGTATCACTGAGTTACACTGAACAAATCTGATGTGGATAATTAGGAGTTAAGCTGAATGTAAATTCAGTTTTAAAGCACATACATGAATAAAATGATGCAATGTGAGTAATGCCAAGTTACTTAGTTTTGTTGTATTTTTGAGGTGTCTCTTACTGTTTTGGCTAAAGTAGAATTTTGTTTTGTTTTTCACGCAAGCAGTTTTGGCTGATTTCACATATGTTTACATTAACTCAAGACACTTAAACTGTAATCATTATTGTTTAACTAAACCTCTAAAAGGAACCAACTCGTACGTGGAAATAATATACAGATCAAGATCTTGCTAATATTATACACATTATCAAGTTGATTACCTTTAATGAAAAAGAGCCAAAGGCAGCAGTAACACTGGTTATGAACTGAGCTAAGTGAAATTAACTCTGGAAACTAGAGTTACGGGATGAAGGGGAGGATATATTATTAAACAATGCTCTTTCTCATTCACTAATGATGTGGCATGTTTTCAAGAAGAAATATTTTTTATGAGAAAAAAAAAGTACGTAACTGTCTCAGTTAAGCAGACACAGACAGAATTCATGGCTTCATGCCACTAGCTCTATGACTAGTATATATCATAAAATATGAGATAAAAGTAAAGATCTGTTGGCTGTGACTGCTAACTGCTTATATTGAAAGCACTCAGTCCACTGTTTTATAATGCACTTGGTGTTAATTTTTAGAGTTGCAGTTTTTTTAGTGGTGAAATACAGGTTATTCTGAAAATTATTAAAAAAAAGATCTTACACCGAGACAATCAAACTTTACAAAACTTTACACACTGATCTATCTTTTCACAATCATACCACTAAGAAAAAAGAATACTTGCACCAATTTTTCTGAATGCTGAACACTAATCGAAAGTACTGAAAATCTTTTGGAAAACTATGAGTTACAGAACTGATAATAGGAAAAGACTGAGAATGATATTTTGTAGACCTTTTCTAGAGATGCATAATACTCAGAATATCCATTTGTTAATTTTAATCCTGGAGAAGAGTTATAAGAATGCATATTTTAAGCATTATGAGCAAAATATGCAAACAGAAAACACTAAAGTGTTTTTATTCGATAATGCCTTTGTTGGTTCTAAAATAATTGGAAAAGTGTCAAAATTAAGCTTTGCAAAATAAATAAAAGAAAAAATGAATACACGCAAGGAATGGAACAAAATAAGACAGATAAAATGCAAATTAGCTTAAATATGTATTTGAAAAATGGAGTTTCAGCAAACTAAAACAAGGCAATGTTAAAGTTGGAATGCTGTATTTTTTTCAGTAATTATTAATCTAGACAATAACTAAATAATTATAAAAACCCTATTGTAATGCTTTATATTAGGCTTACAAGTGTAAAAGTAATAATAAATTACAATTCAGTGATATTTCACAAAACAGAATTAACATTTGGCTAGCTCTGCATTGTCTCAGATAAAAAAAGGATTATTAAATTATCTTATATTTTGAAAACAAAAGGAAATGCAGTATCAAATCATCAAACAGAAAATCTTCACTTGCAACAACTAAAAAAAAAAATTGATATTATTAAATTTAGTATTTAATTATTAAAATATACATTAATATGGTTCAATGTTAGATGAAGACATTTACACAATCGTAGAGAGAGAATTTTTAGTATCGACATAGAATCTCCTTCACCCAATCAGAAGCTCCTCAGCAGCAGAGATCAGATGAAAAAAATCAAAATCTTTGTAATTTTAGTAAAACTTAAGTTAAATGTGTATACAACGAGATATGATGGTTACACTTTACAGTTTCAAAATCGGATAAAACTGATCAGGTTATGGCTGGCCACAACATCAGCAAAAACCTCACAGTTAATGACAGTATTTTTTCTTCTTTAATTGATTGGTCCATACATGAATCTTCTTCTTATTTGCATATTGTTGCATATGTTTTTCAGACTACAGCCCAGTAGATCTTCAGTAGATAGCTCCAAGCCCCACTGATAGTGATTGGAAAGTTAACATCTTCCTAAACTTAAAATGTATTTCCAATAGATACTTACCTCCTTACCTACTAACATGCATATGATCATGCAGCAACCCTCTACTAATAAAAGTGTGATACTATCCCTATCGTAACTAACACCCTCTCTAATCATGCACATGTTAATCACTTGTCGATTGATCTTAACTAACCAAATCAATTCACACCGGAAGTTGGGTGGATGGGTGGGAAATATGAGCAGAGGTAAGTATCAATTGGAAATATAGTTTCAATTTAGGAAAATGTTAACTACCAATACAATATCTTACCTCTGCTAACAAAAGACTAGAATCCCACACTAAACTGATGGAGGGCCAGTGAGAGGATGATCCTTTTTAGGAAGCGCCTAATGGAAGACCACGAGGTGTGATAATGAATTAAAAACACCACCACAGTGGGAGACTGCACCACTTCTGAGCAAAGTATACTCTTCACCCTGTAGTAATGTCTCACCAAATTGTTAAAGGCAGGAACTTGTAAGGGGTCCCAATTAAAAAAAATACAAAAATAATGGGACCCCCTGGTGTAGAGTGGCTAGGGTGCAACAGAACATAAATGGGAGTTCAACCTCAATCAATACCTGGTCGCATCTGGAATTGTACATCAGGTTCGTGGAAGGAAGAGAGTCCTCTACCTTTCACCTCAAAAACAGGTACCAGCAGAGAAGAGGAGTTCCCATACCAAGAACCCGTCTCTGCATGTGTGCACCATCAACACAACCAACATCAGATCCACCAGGAACCAACATCCAACAGATGATAGGATGGAGGAGAGCCCAAGTGGGTGTTCATCTCCCATCCAAGACCTAGTAACATTGTGAATTTGTCGTCCAGTCTGCAGTAGGAAGAGGGAACTCAGCCTTACACAAGCAGGAAGTAATATGTCTTGTCCAGCTACAACCAAAACCAGCTTCACCAGGAACTGACATCTAGTGGATGGTAGGAAGAGGGACAGCAATTTTGGGGTTGCATCTCCAGTTCAAAACCTGATGGCATGGGGAATTTATCGACCAGTCCGTGGTAAGAGGAGGGTATAAGCCAAACACACGTATAGACTATGTGGCTAAAGTGTCTCCGACAACACCCGATCACGGGAACTAACATCTAGAGGATGGTAGAAAGGAAGAATGTCTCAGTCAGAGTGCTACATCCAACACCTAGCAGCATCTGGAATTGTACATCAGGTCTGCAGTAGGAAAGGTAACACCACTGACATCCACAGAATGCCATTGCCTTGGTCTCAAACTGAGTGGTATTGTGTACACTCAGAACAACAGGCCTCCATGGTCCACAACCTACCACTCAAAAACATTGTCTCTGGTTGCAGAAAATATCCTGTGTTAGATAAATAATTTAATTAATGCATTGAAACTCTATCAATACATGGCTTTAAAAACACATACTTAGCTTACAAATTTCAAATATATTAAGCTTTTTTAAATACCTTCTTCATAAGCCTCTTCTTCATCAATATCATCCTCTGTAAAATAATAAGTAAGCACAATAACTTCAGAAACAAAAATGTAAATGTATTCAGCTCATGAATATTGTGTTTGGCATTGACAGTTTATCTTATATGTAATTAAAAAATGCTAGGAAAATGATTAAAATTACCAAACACAGACTTTTGGTTTTAACCCAGTTGTAATTGTTAGGGTACATCACATTCATCTTGCTGCCAGTTCATGTAAAAATTGTCTAGAGATAATAATAATAATAATAAAAAACAGTTAGTTGTATATTTAATGTATACTGTACATACATATTAATTTAACCCACAAACCAAAAAAATAATAATAATAAAAAACAGTTAGTTGTATATTTAATGTATACTGTACATACATATTAATTTAACCCACAAACCAAAAAAAAAAAAAAAGACTACCATGCATAATCAGCACTACATTTATTTTGTTTATTTTACAGGGATGGCACGACAGCATGCTGCGTAACATTCACTATACAGGCCTAATAGTTATGGGTTATCAGAAAAAGAACCCATGCTATACGTAGTGATAAACATCATTTTTGTTTCGTATCAGCTTCACGTGGTAATAATTGAAATGGCTGCCATATATGAATCATTTGTCCGAAAGCTTATCGTTTAAACTTGATCTCTTAGAGGGTCCATCTGAGTTATTCAATCAAATTTGATGAAAACTTGCCAAGCCAGTGAACACAATGAACACAAGAACAATTCGATTTTATATATTTAGATGAATACATTACATATCAGTTGTACTTAAATATAAAATATTTATGTAGTTTTTTCAATTTAGGTTTAATGAACTTGTTGTATTCTTCTCTCCTATATATCTTGCATCATTGAATGAAACAATATTCATCTTCCAAAATCAATAATTCAGGTATTTCTTCTGTTTAAACTTGGTTTAATGATGATGAAATTAAATAAACTTGAACTTTATGTGCATTAAGAAAAATGAGCTAATGCCATATGTAAAAGATTGTCAGATTTTACTAACTATGATTTATTTCTTACAATATCAAAGTTATCAGTTATTTTGTAGTTGCCAGCTGTCAGAATATTTCCCTTAATTCATCTTTTGTCTTCTACATTCCGATTTCCTTAATCACTCTCTTTTTGTCAAAAGTTCTAGTTCTGAAACACTGTTCACAACAGTTCACTGTTTTTCTTCAAAGTTGATCAGTTTTGACACAGTAAAACCATTACTTTGTTGATTATGTTTAACTTACAAGCACGTTATTTGTGACGACCTCACCCTCTGCAAGACAGGTAATGTTCAAAATTATTAAAGACTAAGTTAACCATGAAGATATTTTTGGTTTCTCTCTTTTTTTTAATTGCTATTTACAGGCCCAAAATACATTAAATTGTTTGCTTTTATATGAAGTGTGCAAGATCAGAGAAACTGGTAAGAAAGCTCTGTAGTACTAGACATATACTGAACACTTGGCACTAAGAATAACCCTCTTAGTTGCAGGTGCTTGTTAAATAAGGAGGATTATTTTTTCTAAAGAAATTCTAAAACTACTTAACTGAACTAGACATGTACTGAACACTTGGCACTAAGAATAACCCTCTTAGTTGCAGGTGCTTGCTAAATAAGGAGGATTATTTTTTCTAAAAAATTCTAAAACTACTTAACTGAACTAGACATATACTGAACACTTGGCACTAAGAATAACCCTCTTAGTTGCAGGTGCTTGCTGAATAATTAATTTCTCTATGTTATGCATAACAATATGGTTGAAAGTTTGTTAATATTTTTTCTACTTTGCTAGCAGATGTCAAATTAAGTATTTACATTAAGATTTCTGAACTTTAGTCTTATAAAAAAAAGTAGTGAATGTATGTATAAAGAGGCAGTTAAACGACCAAACTTGAAAAAAAATTATTAATATTGACACAATTGAAATAAAGGAAATGTCGTTTTTTAAAAATCCTGAATAAACAATAAATCTTCTTAACACATAAGCACAGCTCTATTTGTGGTACATACTTTCCCAACTTTTCTGAAAGTAATACAATTCAAACTACACTTAACTATGTTCTCTATTATAAGCTCTGAATAAGTGTAATTGTGAAACATAGCTTAAAACCTTTAATGATCAGTTACTATGATAGCATACCTCCCTCTTCTTCATCTTCTGCATCTTCCTCGTCTTTGCCTTCCTCTTCAACAACTGCAGAGTCGTCTACTTCGTCATCATCACTATTAGCAAAGAATAATAACATATAACTATATATATTTCTGGTAATCATTTACAATTGTGTAAAATTACATTTTCCAACAACTTTTAATATCATAAACCCACATTACATCACTAAAAGTAACTAGCAGATTTTCTGGCACATAAACAGCATGGGATTAGCATTTTATTACAATACAATAAGGGAAAAAATGTACATAATATCATTAAAATTTTTGTATTAAATTTCAAAATTCATTTGGCACATATATTAATACATTATAAACAACAGTCATTAATACTGTAGCTAAAGATATATTAACTATAAGCTACATTGATAGGCTATTCAGTTGTATATGTAAAATAAACTGATAATGTGGTGTGTCAGATGCTTGCTTGAATCTTAAAAGAAACAACAGATAATCTTATTATTACTGTTAATCTGCAAGATAATTCATAAGAACATGAATCACTCAGACTTCCAAAGGAGTATGTAGTGGGTACCCAATTAGCAAAAGTTATCATTACAGACCGTTTCTTTTATCAATTTTTCAAAGATGTCACCAGGGTCCAATAACGAGTACCAATCAAAGTAAAATATAACCTGCCACTAGAAAAAATTGTGTGTCAAAATCTGGCCAAAGAACACCAAAAGAAAATTTAGGTAGTGTACAGTCTAACAGTTGTCAAAGTACATTCCAATTAACTGGTTCCGTCAAGAACTCGGCTACCTCCAATTGTAAGGCCCACAAGACATCAAATCACAAACCAAGTGAAACATTCTTTCAGTAGCTGTCAGGATTCAACTCTCTTCAATCATACTACACAAAGTACATTACAAAAAATGTCCCCTGACAACCAGTCTGAAATGCATTTAATCTCAAATGTACTCATGATATTCAAAAACATACAGGATCAAAACCAAAAGGTTAAGATTACACACGCAGGGTTATTAGTTTTGAGGCTCAAAACTGTTAATTAATAAAAAAATCTATTAAACGACAATTATCAAAATAACAGCCAAGTTTATAGACAACAATTACAGAAGAATGATAAAACAATACATAAAAACAAGGGGCAATTATTCTATAAAATACTTTTCCTAAATTTCATCATCAGATCAAACTTGTTATTGCAATCACAGTTACAGGAAAACTCCTTTAAGCAAACTTCTAAGAAAAAAAAATACTGATGATGATGTAAAAAATAAAACTATCAAAAAAGTTTAAACTGAAGTTTTCATTTGACTAGTTGTTTCATTTATTTTTCAAATTATTTTATCCATTCAAAGCACCATAATTTTATTCCAATGTACAAAACAAATAAATAAATGTTAAACTTCATTCATTTGGACCATATGTAGATGTTTGCTCAATGAAGTTACAGTTCTAGACTGCAGTTACTTGGTACCATATGTACTATGTAATATAAAAACACATTTGTTATATATTATAAATGACTTATTTGAAATATATTACTGTTTTATTGCATAACTATTTTGTGCTTGTTACAGTTTTCATACTATAACTTTTTAATTAGTATGCGTATGTTAATGAAATTTGGCAGATTATCAGTAAACATTATAAGGCTTTCATATGCAAAATATCAAATTTTTTTATTTGGTCATAAGGTTTGTAAAGCAATATTTTTCTCATGCTTTTTTTTCTTTTCGCATGTTGCCTATCCAACATGCAAAGTAATTTTCTTTTGAGATTAAAAATACTTTTGTGCATCAGAAAAATTTTGAATTTCACATGCGAGATCTTTATAATGTCCAGATAGCTATCAAACTACAGGTTTGGTCAATTTGACTGATCTCGTAACCACCTAAAAAAAAAAGGAAATAAATATAAGTTATGCCTTTTTTGTTCTAGAATGACTACAAATTATAACACGAAAACATAAATATTTAGACTAAATAGCTTAAATCTCATAACATTATACATTTATATATGTTAATTATTTTTATTATATTGACCTTTCAGCCATACCTGGCTAACAATACAGAAGTTACAATGATGCGACGCATGTGCAATCATGCTACTGTATCCAATAATATAAAACTGACCTTTAGTCTTTACAAAATAACCTGTCTTGGCTGTGTTTTAGTCGACTAGTATTTTGTAAAATACAGTCACATTTCGATTATTATACATTATATATGTATATATATTATTGCTATTTTGAAATAAGTTCTTAAACTTTTTTCCTTAAAAAAATATAACAGTAAATAAAGAAATACAGCAAACAATTATCTCTTCTAATTACGATCTTTGTGCTCAGTTTCTGCTTGATGTAGGTTGCCAAGCCTTTTAAAATTTCGCACATGGAAGACATGAAACGAAATAATTTATTTTAGGTTATATATATACAGTTGAATAACCAAAAAAATCATAAATTACTACATCAATACCATAAAATTCCACTATAATTTATCAAGCTTAGTAACTAATATGTATTTTAGTCTAAAAAAATATGAAATTTTGAGCAGACTAAAGACACACCCCACCTTCTTGAAATATTGGTTCAAAAGAAAGAAATGGCATCTCAGCCCATTAAATTGGCTGAGAAAGCCACTAGGGGACATTCTGAGCTTCCAATTAGTTATTCATGTCATATATCAAAGTAAATGTATATAAGGGAACGTTTCCAAAAACACAAGAGATGGGCAGGGTGCCACTGTATTTGATTTATTGCATGAGCAATATCTTAGCAAACAGAAAAGATAAGACGTTCTTATCTTATATTTTAGCGTGTCAATATCGGTAATTTCAGTTCCTAATTCGTACGAAACTATACTTAGTATTTTTACACCACAAACATCTAATTTGAACCAGTGCTGCATTCAACATACGACATGACATAGAAAAATCGATGTTAACTTGTGTTTTTTAATATTTACTTTCAAACTAAGAAATTGACTAATGTATAATACTAAAATTTGAATTATAATCTACAGTTTGATACCAAACTTACTGACATAAATTCATGAAATAATAGTTCAATAAAATTTTCATTGCAGTCAACAAATGTGATGACGTGGCCTTTCAACCGTGACCCATCTCGAAATGGTTAATGACTTTACCATTGGTCATTTCATCTATGAATCAAAGAATGCCAAACCAATGAGTTCCTCAGATGCCCAGCAAATATTTGAAAGAACAGAATTCATGTTCTTATACATAACAAGACATTGTATGAAGTTACGATCACTGAGAAAAGCAGAAATGTCATCAGGAGCAGTGAACCATGTTTTATGATAGACTCAAACAACAAAGATGTTGATGTCACAGAATTATCTTTCCTCACACGAGTGAGCTTAAACTGTCCCTTAAACATCCTGGTCTTGAGGGCATATAATGCCCTGTCTATTCATTGTGCATGATGCAGTGCTCTAGGTGCTATAAATCACACTCCATGAGAAGGAATACCACCACCAAGAAAGGTTATGGCTTGTTCAAGAGGCTCTTGATAGTCATCTCTACGTCGGCTGACACTGAAATTGCCCTGTAACAATCTCAATGACACTGTCCTTATCTTCCTCTATGACTTCTGATGCTTCATCAGGGTCAACTGCAACTTCATAACTAGACTGACCCATGTATTCCCAGGATTGCTAAGACTGACAAATTGCAATATCTAGACCAGATGAAATCCTCATGTCATCTTTGAAAACACATGCCAGGACAAATTCTAAAATATAATACTGGCATGCTAAAATCTTGTTTAATCTTTGTTCTAACAGCACATGCTCCATTTCTGTGACCAGTGTTGCTTGCAGCTTTTAACCGATCAGTGACTTCTCACTCTCATGGCAAATGTGCCATAGCAGAAGCTTTAGCCGATCTAGTGCTTCAAATCAACTTTGAAACACCTAGAGTTGATTTACCCCTGCTCCAGGTAGGATCTTCGCAAACAATCCACTTGTTCTTTCCTTGTGAGATCATTAAGGAGCTTGTATCTCAGAGAACTATAAGTGATACTGTTGGTTGGAACTGTTCCTTTAAGTTCTTGACAAGTGCTTCATGAAAACGACGAGATCTTCAGGTCAAGGAACTGTTGATGATTAACTCCAGCACATCATGGCCAATACTATGAGTTGTGGCCATAAGGATAAATATTGAATTTCTGTCACTCAACTCGATTCTGTTCACAGATGCTGCTAAATCGAGAGTGAAAATATTTCTTTTTACCCTTTTTTTTAAGGTTTAGATTATGATGATTCTCCAACTGCTCCTCTATCCTCATCACTGTTATTGGTACTGTATCTATACTAACCTAATCATCACTGCTGTGCAAGGTTTCCCAACAACTGACAGTTTCGTTAAAGGTCTGTTGTTCTTACTCTGCATGCCATTTCCTGTCTAAATTTCAACTACCTTGAGCAATCCCTAAATGTTATTCAATAAAGATAAAATTTAATGTGAATTATTTATTTATATATTGGAACAAAATGAGTGGGTGAGAGCACTGTAAACCAAAACTTCAAAATAAGGACCATCCTACTGTATATTTTGCAGAATAAAATACATATTTTTTTGTTGAAAAACAGTCACAACAAATGTCCTGTGACTTATTCTTGAGTACAATAATAGGTAAATTCAAATAAGAGTTGAAAAGTGTAAAATTAGACTAATCTAGATCTGTAGTGATGACAGTTCATAAAACCAAAATTTTATAAACAGAGATAATAAAATAAAAACGAAATAAATTTAGCTTTAGAACAGATGCAAGATAAATGACTAACAATATATTACGAAAAAAGGCAATCAAAATTACTATCTCATTTTTCACTGAATATCCATCCTGAACAGTCATAAAATCATAGAGAATTACAACATGCTAGTTATTGCATGAGTAAGATATGTTGCATCGCACACATCCATTATGTGCACCTGCATTTCTATAGGCATGGATAAGACCCAAATAATGAACCAATAGATACAACAAAACTGAAAATGATTACAAATAATTAAATATTATAAAACCAGGTAAGAGTAATGGATCTGTACAAATAATGTAAACAATTGATCATGATGTTTTGAAAGTCATTTTAGCAAAGTTTGATTGCCCCCCCCCCTCCTCCACAGTGATATTCATTCCAGCTATCAAGGTTTAAAATTTTGTAGTCCAAGGTAGCCACAGTAAAGCAGATGCCCAAGACTATTGTTAATTTATGAACACTGGATAAATACAAGTGTGACGTAGAACATCTACAAATACTATAAGTCATGATTACAATATTCTATCACAATCATCCTAAAACAAGAAAGAAAAATCATCAAACTGAAAAGATTATGAATGGGTCATCAATTTCCTAAATGCAAAAAAACTTAAAAATGAAATTTTAGGCCTTTTCTTTCTCTTTCCATTTTCTTCCCAGGAATACTAGTGCATAATGTATAACAACAAGTAGACACAGTAAAACAAAAGTGCAGAGGTTATAATTAGAGCATACATATCAATGAATCTGATGTAAACAGGAACATTTCAGGCTATTTTATCCTACTATTTTTTCAAATTCAAATTCTTTTCATACTTTTAATCCACGATAGTTTGATTTCTATGAAAAAAGTTCATAAATTTACCTTTCATCATCATCTAGACCATTCTCAACTTCAATGTCTGGAACAAGAAAATACTGAAGTGGGTTGGGCCACATGTCATCTTTTATTACCTTGGAAGGAAAAAAAAAATTACATCATTTTTATTTTTGTAATTCTACTAGTTTTTAATTCAGACAATAATGCACAGTATTTCAAACTGATGGTTTTAGTGCAGGGTAATATTGCTGAATTGTCAATATACATTAACTTCACAATTTACAACATCATATATTTCATAAAAAACGTTCCCTATTTAAATATTCTTTTAGCATCAGAGCAAAATAATTTTTTTAGGTTCTATATATACATTTGAATAACTAAAAAAATCATAAATTACTACATCAATACCATAGAATTCCACTATAATTTATCAAGCTTAGTAACTAAGATGTTTTAGTCTTAATAAATATGAAATTTCAAGCAGACTAAAGACACACCATACCTCCTTGAAATCTTGGTTCAAAAAGAAAGAAATGGCATCCTAAGAATTTAAAATGACTGAGAAAGCCACTAGGGGACATTCTGAGTTTCTGATTGGTTGATCATGTCATAGATAGTAGTAAGTGTATATAAGGGAGCATTTCCAAAAATGGAAAGAGGTGAGCGGGGTGCCATTGTGTTTGATTTAATACGGAGCAATATCTTAGCAAATAAAAAAGATAAGACCTTTTTAGTTTATATTCTAGCTTGTCAATATTGGCAATTTGAGTTTCTAATTCATACAAAACTATAGACTTAGTATTTTGACTTCACAGACATCTAATTTGAATCAGTGCTGCATTCAACATACAATATGACACACAAAAATCGATGTTTATCTGCATTTTTTTAATATTTACTTTTAAATTAAGAAATTCAGTAATGTATAGTATTAAAATTTGAATTATAATCTACAGTTTGATACCAAACTTACTGATATAAATTCATGAAATAACAGTTCAATAAAATTTTGAATGCGAGTTGACAAACGAGATGACATGGCCTTTCACCCGTGACCCATCTTGAATGGGTTAACTTCTGTAAAAAATGGAGTGGGGTAGGGGGTCCAGACCCACTAGGCCACTCCCCTAAATCCATCCACTTATAACATATTACAGAACACAGTTATGCAATTGTAAATGTAAGTATAACACAATGTATTCATTATTCAGCTTTGTGCTTCACAAAAAATAAATATAATGAGAATATTACTTGGATTACTTGGATGGTTGAAATAATCAAAAACTTTAATTTTCATTAGTTGATTATTTTGGGTTTTGTGACAATTAATTTAACCCTATGCACATGGAAGGGAGGATTAGAGTATACAAGTCAAGACGTTTTTTTCAGAGATACATTCCAAATTTAATTAAATAGTTTTATATTATTAACAGATGTCAATAAACAGGGCTTCAAAATGTAGTTTATAATTTAAAATTTCATATTGTCTAAGTTTTAATTTCAATAGGGAATATATAAATAAGTTCTCAATCATCACTTCTCTGTGTCAAATGATGCATCTGTGGACCAAATTGTGCATTTCAGGCTTTCTTTCTACTCTTTTATGTCAGTGTAGCCAACCCCCCCCCCCCGATTGTAGCCCCCCACTGATTTTATTTCATATTTTTCAATTTTGTTTTACTGTACCTTGATGATTTTGCTACAATTAGTGTTAACGTAGAGAAAATAAGATATAAAATAGTTTTACCCCAAAAAAATTATATTCATTTATGAGTTCGTAAAGGTTATGCAAATAAAATCCGAAAACTGTAAGATGACAAAAAAAAAAGAGGATTTTTTTACCCTTAGCATGAAATCACCTTGCTCCTACACTAGTCAGTCTGACTAATGTATATTCAAAGACAAACCTTTGGAAGAAATACTTTATTACAAATTCTATGTTTACTAAAAACTTTCCAAATGTTGTGAAGATATATCAAGTAAATTTGGAATTATAGTAAACATTAATCCTCCAATTCACACTTATCTAGTAAACCAATCCTGTGCACATAGGGCAGTCAAACATCGGTAAATTCCTTTGTGAGTCAATAAAAATTAAGATCATTCATGAAATGAATTCATGGCATAGTCACAGAATAACTATTGGTAAAAATCAGTTTGGGTAACATCCTCTACTATATAGAAAAGCCACTGCATTTTGATAACACTATGTTCCAATAATGGCTTTTATTCATGTTGCTTAGCAACAAAAGTATAGCCTAATATTATTGTTAGTCTGTACTGAAAGTATAAAATGTAAAGTAGACAACAAAACTGGAAAAATATTTGTTGATTTCTTAATTTAGAGTCTCCGTTGACTAAAGAGGTTTGTTTTTTATTAAAAACGTTTATAACAGAATATACCTTGATTCAGAAACAATCTAAGTTTAAAATTGGATTTATATTTTTTAGTTTCATGATAAATTTTATGCACTTGGCTGTAGGCTAGATTATCTCACACTATGTCTTTACTTTAGGCATATTTATTCATTTCTTTAAATCATACCAACATTTACTACACTTACAGGGTTTCACAGCCCCCTTGAACCCCTGTCACTAAAATCGTAATGTATGTCAAAACTGAAACAGAAAGGCTAAAATTCATTCACATAAACCAAAATAAGCTCCGAGTTGAAGACTATATCAACCTGCAGGATGCGAAAATAGGTTCAGAATACACACACTGACAAAGCCATCTAGAATATATCAACCTAATAACCTGAGCGAAACTGGGTACTTTCACTAGTATAGATAATAGAGGGTAATTTAATGACTATGTTTTTTTTTGTTTTTCTTACGTGTTGATTTATGAAATTACATAGACATAGTACTCAGTTTTTTTTATATAAAGAATTAACTTCAATACAAAGAAATTTTTAGTTCTGATCTACATAGGTAGCTTACTTTTGATGACAAGTTATTAATAATTAATTCTAAACAGCTAAATAATGTACTAGGTCAACACACTGTGAACCTTAAAAATTTACAATTGCATTAATCTCAAAGCCCCAAAAGTATGTATTTCCTGTCTAAAATATGAATATGTAAGCAATATTCTGACAAACAAACAAATGCTTAAAATAACAAGACCAAGGAAATAGGTCCTGCCTAATTATTATTTACTCACCTCAGCTATATCATCAGCTGATGCATCCCCATGGTCACTGAACCACAAAAAGAAAGTCCTTGGCAGTTCATGCCTTCTCTTCTGACTGTTTTTCATCTGTGCTTGTCGTTCTTTTTGTTTCTTTGTTAGATCCATCCCATTTTTCCACTTGATAGTTGTTGAGTGTGATGCAGGATCCCCTAGCAAGAAACAAACAATAAAAGTCAACATAACACATTTTTAATTAGGATCATTAAAACATTTTACTTCCATGGCTGAAACTGGCTTGTTTCTTTCTGTAGTACAAGAATACCAAATCATTTAAGCTCTTGCTAGAAGGTTTCCATACATGATGACCTACTCCTACTCTCAGGACCAGTATAAGGAAAGTATGCTTTCAAGTTGGAAGCCTACATCATATAGCTTTTTTTTTCTGCTTATCTAAAATTAGCATGCGAGATCATTTAAAAAATATTAATTATTTAATTTCTGGAGCATATATTGGTACATAGAAACATATTAATACTAGACATAAATGACCTCATAACACCAAAATGTTGTTTTTATTTAATTAGATATTCAACGTTTCACTTTACAGCTTCTTCACTAAAACACAAATGGAAACTGACAGTACAAAGCTTTAGTGGAATGTTGAGTGTCTAATTACATAAAAACTACAATTTGGTGTTATAAGGTCATTTATTTCTAGTATTAAATTAAAAAAGTATCACTTGTACAATAAATACTATAAAATCATCCAGTAATGATAAATGCATGATGAATTCTATCACTGCAAAAATCTGGAGCATCCAGTTAGAAAATGCTGTTCTGTTACAATCACTAAAATACAGGGTAACATCCCAACCCTGTTAATCATAGAGAAAGGAGTAAGACATTCAATAGAAAAGTATAAGAAATATTAAATAATACTGTGATGTTTCATTCACATCTGTCTAATAATATGTTTCCTTTGAATGGAATTATATATCTATGAATTATGTGCATGTTGTATTTTAAGTAAATATACATTACTGATGTATACTCTATAAGGTTATTATATGAGAATGGGAATGTGTAAGGGAAAAAAAGTGAAATATTTTTAGGCCAATGCTGGACACCATTTTTTAAAAATTCATTCCATCCTTAAATGAAACTAATATACAAATTTAAAATGAATTTTATGTACAAAGTATTCACACTGTAAACATCCATTTTATAAGATTGGATAAACAAGCATATTAACTACATTCTGAACAGTTATACGCAAAATACTGAAACCCAGATGATCTGTACAAGTACTGTTAGTGTAGCATTTAATTATGAAAGATCAACTTTAGGCATTTTGTTTTTTAGTGTATTATTTTAACAATAAAATATTACCCCTCTTCCCAGATTATTGAGAGGATAATGAATAACCTTGGGTGTCATTAAAAAGTCAGAAATCTACCGATTGGTGGAAACTTCTCATCTCTATACCTTGCATTTTTCTATATCTGCCTAAGGACTGCCTTAGAATGCTAGATATAACTATTAAACAGCCATGAATATGTATGTGATATTCTACATGAAGTAAATTATTTTACATTTGGAAAAATTAAACAAATAATCTTACTGAATAAACTAACTTACACCATTTGTTGTTTTGGTCAGCAGTAGCAAGTTTCAGAAACATTACTATGTACACACACACACATATAGATATTTGCATGCATACATATATCTACTAGTGTTATATAAATATATGTATGCACATAAATTATTAGCAATATATTAATTTCTTCACAAATTATTATTATTATAAGGTGAATAAGAAGAGTGACCACCCTTTTTTCAACTTCCTGAAAAAGGTTTTAGATTAGAGCTGGGCAATTAATATAACTGATTACCTTTGAGCATCAATTAATTTGAAAAGTGTGAGGTAAAATAATCGATTGAAGTTATCATTAAATTGTTGTCACTAAAACAAACAATCAAAATCAGTGTTTCTGGCTAATATTTCTTGGTTATTCCAACAGTTGGAATAAGCAAGCAGTTGAATATAATCAATTAAGGTGCCCAATGATTTTTCAATTAACAATTTAATTGCCCACTTCTCTTTGTTTTTGTTTTTTATTTACAGTTCTGTAATATGTTCTTAAGTTAGGTTACTACAATTATTATATCTATTAAAAATTTTCTTCCAAATTAGAATAAATTAAAATAGCGAGTTTTAAATTAGGCTGAAGCATGAACTTGATTGGTTACATACCTCATTAACTAACACAAGTTGATCTTTGAATTTTAATGTAAAGTGGTGTAATTAAAGAGATAACACTGATTACTCTTTTTGGTTTCTTTCATTAGTTTTATAACTGTGAGGTTCACTTGATTATTGTTAGTAGTAGTGAAAGTGTAACTTTGAAGAGTTTGAAGGTGCTAAGTGTTAAGAGTGATCAATTTTAAAATACTAGGTTGGGCTGTAGTTTTGAGGCTTATAGTGACTCACGTGGAATTACAGAGCTTCCTTGATGGAGAAAAATTTAGTTTGCTTTGGGAAGAAATGCACGATTAGATAGCAAAAGTTGTAGTGTATGTGAGTAAGTAAGAGAATAAAGAAATGGATAAATCTTAAAGTTATACTTGAAAGAGGATGAGAAATATTCTGGTTTATTATGGCATTGAAAAGTCTAAGGCCAAGGAGAAATCAGGCAATCTTTACTTTCTGTTAAGGATAAGGAAGGAAAAGACCCCAAGATTTTATTTATAAAAAAAAATACATACAGTATACTGAAAGGTGCTCAAACAATAAAAAAAAACACAGGAAGAGAAGATAAAAATATTTCATTAGTAAGGTAAAAAAAAAGTTATTTTTTAATAAACATTGGAGTTATGGTGATAAATGCATATCTAGAGACTTATTAATTACATGTAGGTCCAAACAATTACTTTGGAACTTTAAAATAGGTCTTTCAGTTCTTTTTCAATGTGTCTAATGTGAGTGGGAAACTTTACGAATGGTGAAAAGATTAAATGAGAAATTACGGTGGTTATATCTGAATCAACTCATTAGAGCTTTGGAACAGGCTCAAGGATAAAATAGACCTGTTTATGTAGGTATTTTTTTGGGTGTTGGTGTGTTTGTAGACAAAATAAATGACTTTTATTAACAAATGTTTAAACTAACTCTGGATAACTGTAAGGGATATTCTTGGGCCTTAGGAGATTATGTCATGGATTTTGAAGGAAATGAGGCTAATAGATTTGATTGTAATGCTGTCACATACTTTAGAAGTGAGTTTACTTTCTCTTGTTAGCAACTTCTTACATCGTCATCAATATATGATTGGCTCAGGTAAGATCATTACCATGCAGTACCACCATGTTTTGCTGAAGCCAATGCTTACTTCTTTAATGATTAGTTAATGTCCAGGCAAGATTCTACAATGACCGTCAGAGTGATATAAAGCCTGCGTTAAAGTTCATCTGCTTCCTTTTCTTGTTCACTATGTGAAAATGATAACACTTTGAACTTTTCAACAATGTAGACTTTCAAACTTTTTTGGGGGGAAAAAATCAAGAAGCTGAATTTATAGAAAAAAAATAGAAATAATAATAATAAATAAATAAATATTGGTTGGAGAATAATCCAAAAGCTGAATTAACAACAAAACAATTTAAAAGCCCACATAAAAAAACAAACAAGTTATTTCAAAGAAGACATGCAATAGCATCACGTCCAGATATCTTACTGTTAGTTAACTCATCATTAAGTATGGTAATACTTAATAGTAGGGATCATCATGGAACAAAATGGCAGCCATAAAAATTACCCATTTAACCACCTTTAAGATGTCTGAATATTAACAATGACTATTTCACATATATATATATATATATATGCACCCCATGCTTGTTATTGCTGGCACACAAAAATATAGCTAATAAGAAGGAAACAAGTATTAAAAAAAATTAATTTTATAAAGACAAGTAGAGATCGATAACCTAACTAACTATAGTAATATAGAAAGTTTAAATGCTACATAAAATATTGAAACATGAAAGTGAAAACTACAAAAACTGAGTTACTTAAAAAAGTTTATCACTACTTTGGCTCAGACTAACATAATTACAGTGATTTGCCAAAGTAGGGATAACATTTTCTAAATTTAGAAATGTTTCCTTATACTTGTAATAATAAGAGAAGCATATTTTTATATCATTAACTTATAACAGCCAAGTTTGTTAATATTTTTTACAACCATAAAAAAATTGAGTTGAGTAGTCATGAAAGGAAGTCAGCTCTACAACCATAATGGTAAACAGAAGGTAAAGGTGAAACAGTAATTAAAAAGGTTTAAGGAAAAATCCAGAATGTTACAGACCTATCAATTTGACATCTGTTGTTACTTTTTGGTAAGTTGTTGGAATATATATATATATTCATTTCCAAAAGCATCTGGAAAATTTGCATTCAATTAAAAATTCTCTCTCTCTATGCTGTGTTAAAAGTGATTATTTGCATTTGAATTACATTTTTTTAACTTTTTCCTTGTATATCTGATTTTCTGAGCCATGTTTTCATTAGTTTGATTACAGGAAGGTTGTCCAAGTACATTGATAAGTAAATTTTGAGGTTACGTAGATGAAATTATAATTCATTATTAAGTATATTTTAAGTACACCCCTATCTGCATGCAATATCTAATTTACAAAATGGATAAACAGAGAGCAAAGTTTTATCAAGATTTGTTTGTAAACTGTTAAAAAGAAGCTCTTGTGTAAAGCAAATATCTCACTGTTATATATATACATTCTCTACTTATTTTCACCTACTGCAATTTGTGTTTAATCAACACAGTTTTATATTTTTTTATTTTTATGAGGGGTGTATGTGTAAAGTACTATGATATTGTAATATCTATAACACATATGCAAAGCAAAAGATGTGAATGGCCATTTTCTACATAAAACGATTTGGTAAAAAAAAAGTACAGAGAGAAGAGGATGAGAAAAAAACTAGAAACAAAAATACCTGATGATCCCAGATGGAATTCTTTCACGATCACATTATTTTCAAAATATGGATTTTCATCAAAGAAAAACTTGATTCTGTAACCCGACTTGATGTCTTCAAACTCCTCTACTTCTAGTTTGCACATGAAGTGCAAGCACTCTTCTTCCTCCTCATCCAAAATTGCTGAAATTTGTGGATGATTGACAAACTAATGCTCAGTAAAGGAAAAACATTTACAATCTCTAGGCATTAAATAATCCCCAAAATACTAGTATATATCAGGTTATTAGAGTAATTTTTTCAACTGACCTTTAAATGGTTATTCTTAAAAAGTAATTTCCTCTTTTGATAACAAATGACAGTGTACTTGTAAAATTATAATAAATAAAAATGGACAGTCAAAGGTTGTGTTTTTTAACTTTACGTTTAGGCTTGATCCACCAACAGGTCTATTAAAGTAGTCCCACTCCTTCACATTTTAAAGTCTTAATGAGTGCTGGAAACAGCCCCTACCAAACATTCCATGAAAACAGATAGTGGCCTGATGCTGTATCTCAATTATTTCTTTACAAAACTGAACAATAAAAGTTTTTTTGTACTGACTGAATTGTACTGTTTTTCTATCAACAAAAGTTTCACGAGCTAAATTGGGAAACGTTCACAGTGTGTCACTGAACTATGATGACCTCTGATCAATGTAGCAGTCTCGTGTCATGCAGAACGTAGTTCATCAAGTACAACTTAGAATCCAATCAAATGTACTAATACTCTTCTTATTGGTCTGAATTAGCAAATAATTAATATCCGATTCTGTAATTTAAACTTTAAAACACTGACTTAGCTTCTTAGTTACAACTATTAACTACATACAATATAGTTTGAAAATGTCATATTTCTGCCTATGTAACACTGTTAGTCTAGGCCAATTAAATTTAAAGTTTCAGGGTCATAGCAACTAAAAGGGTCACTAGAAGTTATATGTGAGCTTGTCTTTGTGTATACAAATAACAGCTGATTGTGTGGCTCATGCCCTGACAAGTAACAACAGGATCTGAATTTAAAAGTATTTATTTCTTAGTAAGAATAAAAAACATGATAAATAATCTGCAAGGAGAGTCACGGCAATCGGAATGTATCAAGCCAACAAATGAATTTAATAGTAGTAGGTCCAATACAGAAGATCCAATGTTTGAAAACAGAGGTCTCACGACCAAGTGCCCCTTGCCTAGAGATGTAGAATTGTCAGAATGCACCATCACCAACTGACGCCGCAGGAGGAAGTGATCCAAAGCCCAACCAACTGTGAGGAGTTCCAAAAGATTGGTATGGAGAGAGAGGACTCTTATAGAGTCCACCACTTCAAAAACTCCTGAGAGTCCAGATATGCATCACAACCAGATAGAGAAGCATCCAGAAAAAGGTAATATGCTGGTCAAATAGGAGGAACCCCCATGGTGGAGTTGTCTTGATCCAGCCTCCAGGCAAAGTTGGTCTGGAAGGATAAGGGGGACTAAGGGATCCCGAACAAGGCTCCACTGGTCAAACAAAACACACTGAAGATGGTGCACGTGGGCACAACCAAGAGGAATGAAGAGAACCTCTCGTGCAGTAGTAGAAGGAGAGGAGTATATTCTGTGAATGGGACATTCGCTAGCCCTCAACTGAAGGGAAGAAGGTTGAGCGCAACTGAGCTGGGAATTGAACAACACTCCAAGAACTGGATATTGAGTGGGTGTGAGTAAAGTATTCTCCACCATGACAAGCCAACCTAACCTGGCAGCTTCACTGAGAAGAAACTAAAAATGAAGGACAGAGTCTGCTTGTGAAGGAGCCAGACTTCTATATAATGATGGAAAGAAGGCCCCTGGAATGAATAAGATGGGCAAACAGCCAGAACAATCGAGAAAGAACTTAGGAACCTGAGGCAAGTCTGAACAGAAGAGTCCAGAACCGAAACATACACCCTTGATGGAAAATTTCTGGGTGCAGGGAAAAGTGGAATACTTAGGTAAGCATCTGACATATCCACAACCCTGAAGTGAAAACCCAATGAAGAGCTAACAATAACTCCATGGTAGATAAGGTGAGGAAGACTAAGAAACAGGATCTTGAGGCAGAAGGAAGGAAATGTGAGATTAGGACAACGAGGGAGGGGTATCTAAGTGGAAGACCAGACCCTCTGAGACTAACCTCAGAACCCAAGGATCCATGACAAAGGACCTCCATACGTGGGAAAAGTGAAGAAGCCTGGCCCCCACTAACCCTGATCCCAAAATAGTCAACATGACTGCCGGGCACCCAATATACAAACAGTGAGCCTCAGACCTAGAGATGCCAGAACTGGCAAGGGAGAGGAAGGAGGGTGAGACATGGGAACAAATATCAGGTTTTGTAGGAGTATGAAACCAAATTATTGTGGTCCAAACCCCACAAAGGGACAACTGAGTCCAAACAATGCAAGTCTAAACTGGGAAATTCTGAACACTGATATGCAAGAACATGGGGTTTGAGTTAAACTGACCCTCAAATGCAACTGGTCCTCAATACAACTTGCATGAACCCCAATATTTGGGGAAGGAGGAAACACTAAAAGACTAACCCTAAAGCTCTTCCCCAAGAAGGGCAGGAGTGGTAGTCATAGGAAATGGGAGTTAAAGACAAGACATAACATAACCAAGTAAATAAATCAACAAAAAGTGAAGGTGGCCTGGATACTTCTACAAGACAACACGCTACCAGTAGGGATAGGAAGGAAGAGAGAAAAGGCTGTACAAATCCTCATCATCATGTACATGCAAAGCCTGACCAAGAATGATAGTACAATCAGTGCAAAAGAGTGCATGAAAAAAAATCAATTCTCCATGCACTAAGGCCATCCCATTTTTGGATGATAAAAGTTGTTCTGATGGCATAGATGTGGCCTGTAAGTCAGGCATAACAGCTGTGGTCGGTAGTACATGGAACTACGATTGCAAAACTTTTGGATTTGACATTGGTTTTGAGAAGAAAAAAATTTATACATTAGAGGGTCACATCAAAAAGGAGTAATTAAACCATAAAATGCAAAAATAATGGTATAAAAAATTCCTAAATCAAGGAAGTTGAAAATTATAATGTCTTCAGACTTGCAGCAAAAACATGTCTACACATTAAGATTGCCAATCGAGAAATGGTTATGGGCTAGAAGGTTGGAGAAGGCTCTAGTTACGATAGGGGTAGTGTCACACTCCTATTGGTGGAGGGTTGCTACATGATCATTTGCATGTTAGTATGCAGATGTCTCATGTTAACATACATGAGGGTAGATGGGAGTACCAAGGCTATTGGTGAAAAAACACTTGAGCCAATAGAAGGCAGTGAAGTCGAGAAAAGTTTTTGTGGGTGGAGGTAAGATATCATATCAGAATTTTTCTTTATTTAAGAAAACACAAGCCTGTACTGAAGATTTAGATTGTTTCTGAGCACTTAACCTAACATCAAGTACAAGTCTGAGAAAAAATGTAAACTGAAAATTTGTTGAGGTTGAATACAGAGGCAAAAAATCATTAGTAGGGATCTAGGACCCACTGAGAGCTTCAGAAGCTGAAGAACTTTAGATTCTCTGTGATACATTCTTAGCCTTTCCTGGTTCCAAATTTAATGTTTTTAATAGGCAATTATTATTTGTGTTAACATTGGATTTGATCACTTTCTTCCCTCTTGGAATCAGTATTCAGTCTGGGTTGACAGCATGGGCTTTGAATCATCGAACAACATATCGTTAGTTTGTTTCTAGCTTTTTTTATCTACATTTTACAATCTTGAAGTTTTCTTCTGTTGTTTTAGCACTACACAAGGTGTAATTTATTAAGTCATTGCATCTACATACAATATTTTCCTGACAACATTCACTTTCCATTTACACTCCAAATGTACAAGTCAAAATGCAAACATTTCCTCCATAGTTCAATTCGACATTAACAGATCTTTTCAACCATGTCCATTTCAACTTGTTTTTAATACATTTCTTGATTTCTTTAAGATTAATGACATCAATTCTTTTCAAAACTTTAGCTGTATTGTTGGCTGATTTAGTAAAACTCGTCAACAAATATAAAATTTTAAATTGACAACAATTATCTGTGGGGAACCAGTCAATGGAGTTAATGATTTTTTTGCTCACTGGGATAATATAGATAAGCTAATCTAATCCAAAGCCTCTACACGCACAGAAATACATAGGGGATAGCAACTGTTGCTATGGCATAGAATAGCACAGTGCAATCAGATGAATGGGGTTTTTATGTTTAATTTGTAGTGGATCCTTAGCAGGAAATGAGATAACCTATTTTAACCAAATGGCACATTATTATTCTTTGTAAATGAAAAACCTATCATTACATTTATCAATATTGGATTTCAAGTTTTTTTTTGCTCAAAAACTAAAGTCAATGCTGCTAAAACCTTTTGGAAAATATAAATAAACTTTTTCAATAGACCACATTACTTTCTTACTGTTATACAATACAAATTAACTCTAATGTTTATAAAAGAAAATGGGCAATGCAGTTACATATGTTACTGGAGAATAGATAGTCGGGCCTAACATGAAAATCATGCCTAATGTTCTTTTATATTTATGGGGTTAGTCACATTAACAATAACAAAAAAAAAAAAAAAAAAGTGTGAAGGCTAAATCTAATCAGAAAATACTTTATTTCCCCCCCCCCTCTTGAAATAATGTTCCCATTTCTCCAGGCATTAGGCTAGTACTAATATTAATAATACTACCTTGGTATTCTAATGCAGTTTTATAAACATTTATTAGGTTATATTACTATTAGTATTACTACTAGTGATTAACTTAAACTTAACTAAATGAATATATTATAAATATAACAAAATTACACAAACTGTGACAAAGTCAGTGAGTTTGACTTTAATCTTTTAAAGGATACTGCTGTGACCCAGAAGTTTGGTATTTTCTCAATTAAATCATTTCTTTTGTCAAAAAATGGTTTTCTTAACTTATTATATTTCTGTTCGACTTTAAGGATTTCTTCACTTGCTTTCTCATTCAAAGCATCAATTTCGTTCTGGCAAGCGTCAATCTCTTCTAATGACTTTTGTGTTTCTGGATCAAAATCCCTGCTGTTTTCGTCTATATCTCCAGTAGAACTTGATCCTTCAATTTTTCTACTTTTTTTGGATGATGCTCCAGTCGCAGACATTTTTATTTTTTTCTCTCCCTCTCTAATAAAAGTATCCTGAGAATTAAAGAAACGTGTTCTTTGATAACTCGATAGAAAACACTGTTCACAACAATGCCGTCGTTAGGCCTACTTTTGACACTCTCGTTTATAAAAATTTTTAGTTTACGACGCATGCGTAATAGGAAATGCTGACGAGAATAGGCTTTCGCGCTTTCCAGTTAACTGCCGATTTATTGGTCAACTACGTATGAAATAGCTAATAGCAAAACTCAGAACATAAGAGTGAGGCTTGAATGACGACCCTCGTAACGTCATACTATTGATGTTTAAATTCCAAAATGGCTGCATGCTTGACTGTTATTGAGAAATATTGGAAATTACAAGAATGTTCAGATTACTGGCTGTTACAAAAAATTATTTATTTCCAGTCGTTACACTTCATCATTATTTAAGCTTATAACAGTTCATCTGTAATCTGAGTAAGTAAATCTTTAGCAGTAAGTTATAAATACAATAAGAAAATCTACGGTTTAACTTAGCTTAAGTTTAGCGTTAATTTATTGTACTTGTAAACGTAATCTGTACATATTGTAGCATTAAATACCAGTAGTACTAGCAAAATAAGAATAATACTAATAGCGTCTGCCTAGTGTCATCGACATATTATAACTTACAAGTTAAAGTGTTATCGTTTTATCAGAGTTACAACTTACTATTGCGTTTGTACTATGTAGTGTATTTATTCAGGAAATTAGGCCTAACCACTCGAACTCTTATTAATACCAAATTAGTAAATATCAATAATACACTAAACTATCAGTATCAGACTCCTCTGCTAAATATCTCTATTTAGTAATATTAAATATTGTATTCATTTAGTAGTAGGAACTAGGGTACATAACTCATTAACTGTCAGTTGTGATCTGAACTTAACGTATACATGCACATTCACATAGTCATAATCCAGCTTATATTTATAATTGTAAAATTATTTGATTTTAAGTGTAAGTTATGACAACAGCTTTACTTTTAGTTGCACCACAAAAGTTTGAATATCAGTAGTATAATTAAAGATACAGCATGTGAATGCTGCCATCACAGTCTAAAATACTCTAATACCATCTTTTCCTTCATGAGAGATAAAAATTCACAATTCAAGTACTAAGCTTTCGAACTTGTAGTAGATAATCATTTGTTATCATTGATGAAAGGCTATCAATCCAAATGTATGGGATGTAATAATTCTTTTAGTTTTTCTCTAATTATTAAAAAGAGAGGATGTGATATATAAGCAATTAGTAAATATTTTTATTAGTACTAATGTCATCCACAAAAGATGTGCTACTGATAGGTTAAAAAACAATATTTTGCACCATTTGAATCATTTTACAGTGAGTTAATTGACCACAACAGAATAATTTCAAATGGAGTACAAAAACATTTATCCATTATATATTACATAATATTTGCAGTCATGCCTTACATGCAATCTTTTCTTTTTTTCTTCTCATCTCTATTTTATCCACCCTCAGAAACTATGAAATTAAACTTAAATTACTCACTATAAAATTTTCGTTGCTCAGACAAACCATAATTTTTGTAGCCATCAATTTTGTTTGTTTACAAAGCTGTCAAATAGAAAATCAGATCCCTTCTGCCACACCCACCTGTCACATCCTCTCTTTCAGGATTTGTTGATAGTTCTCTCTTACATTTAATTATATATTATCTATAACCAATAGAAATTCAAGGTTTCATCTATCAGATGATTTTTTCTATTATGTTATGTTCTGAACACAAAATAGTCAATTTCACTTCTAATTCAGCTTTGGTTCCCACGGGAATCACAATGGTTAGCTTGGATGCATTTGTAATGGCTCTTGTCACATAGTTAGAAAGCTAGAAAATTTGTGTTTGTTAGAGGAAATTGTCTGCTTTTTGCATGTTATTAGTCTATGTTCTTTGGTGCATTATTTAATTAAATAAAAATTGTTTAATGCACAACCACCATTAGTTTAAAATAAGTAAGGTTAACTGTCATCAATAATCGAGAGCAGAAAAAAAGAATACACGTGGAAGTACTTTATTTTTTTTTTTATGTTTATTGTTTACTTATTATTATACATGTAACTAAAATGTCAAAATGGAGATCTCTCTAGGTTAGTTAAGGTTAGATTAGGTAAAATAAACAATAGGAATATTATAATAAAAATATTTCAAGAGGTATGCACGAGAGCAGCAGCTACTTAGGATAAATAAATGCAATTTCACACAACATTTGAAGTCATTCTAAAAATAAAAGGCTGGTAATTTTTATTTATTTGGATTTTTATTTTGGTGGTTACGAGATCAGTCAAATTGAACAACCTTGTATAGGATTAGAGTAGAGAAAATAACAGATAAAATGTAAAGTTCTACTGAAAACAAACATTTGGAATGTATTTAGGAGGTTTTAGAGATTACTCAAATGAAATTTGATATTTTTGAAATGAAGAAAAATATTTTTAATCTTAACATGAAAATCATTCTGCACACGGACTATTCAAAATAAATACTATATTCCAGGACAAATCTTTTTTTTAGTTTATTAAAAATACGTCGTTAAAAAATATGTTTTTTTGCATGTGAATGGCTTATAATGTTTACTGAAAGACTGCCAAATTTCGTGAAGATATACACACACTATATCAAAGGTTAGTAGTATCAAATCTATAAAGACTACAAGTACAAAAAGGTCACGTGGTTGATCAGATTGATGGAGCCCGTGTGGAGAGAGTAAGAGAGGTGCACTGTGCTACCTTTGATATAATCTTTGTATACCAACATACTTCTACAAGAGACATTAAATTTGTGCACAGAACTATTGTTCCATAACGACAATGATAAAATTTCCAAAACATGGTTCAAGAGCTCATGAATTATGCTACTAAGTAATCTCATGTTATGTTTAATAATGAAATTTATGATCAAGTGGATGGGGTTGCAATGGGATTTAAATTAGCCCCATGGCTTGGGAAATGTCCTGTACTGTTCAAGGCAATATATTATAGAAGGTATGTGAATGATACTTTCGTAATCTTTAGAGAAGTTGAACATGTTGAGAGCATGTTTTTTAAATTATCTCAACAGTGAACATCCCAATATTAATTCTCTGTTGAACATCACTTTAATCATAAACAACCTTTCTTACACTTACTTCTTCATAATAATGATGGAAAATTTGAATGTGAAATTTTTTATAAAAAGACATTTACAGAACTACATTGAAACTTAGAAAGTTTTTATATCATTATCTTGCAAGAAAAACCTGATAATAATTGTTCATCCAGCATACGAGTTAACCAGTAAATATGAATTTTTTCATAAAGAGATAGAAAATATTAATGAATTCCTAATAAAAAATGCTTTTCCAACAAATATCATAAATAAAGTTATTCAGAATTTGTAAGTAAGAGAGTCCTTCCAACATTGTTCACATGGGAAGCAAAACAAAAAATTACTTTTGTTTTACCATATATTGGAAAGTAAACAATGGAGATTAGAAATCAGTTAAAAAAATAATCCATCATAATTATCTGCAAATAGAATTGAGATGTATATTTAAACCAGTGTGTGGAATAAAAATGTTTTTAGATATACAGATTGAATATCCATTTATCAAACATCAAATGTAGTAAATCAATATAGGTGTCCTTAATGTAATTTAGATTATATAGGTTATACTACTAGGTTGTTAAAAACACATATACAAGAACATGCATATTTGAGATATACTTCATACTCATGTGCTATACAGTTGTAATAAACCTATAAATAGAGAAAATTTTAAAATCTTGGTGGAGGTTAATAATGAACATGAGCTAAAAATAAAGGAATGCCAGTTAATGGATAGACTCAAACTGAGATTAACTAAACAGAATAGTGCAACTTGTTTATTACTAAAGCTATAAGTGTTAGAATTCCGTTTAGTGTTTCTGATTTAATTCCTTCTCAAATTATTAGTTCTGAAATATACAGGCATTCTGTCTACATTTTGTTTTAAAACCCTCTTTAGCTTAAAACCATGGGTTCAAGTTTATTGAAATGATTGAACAATTCATCTAAAAACTTTTTCAATGCTCCCCATTCCCCCAACACTTGATGCTTGCCTATGTAATGACCAGTAATTTCAAAGTAACACATAAAACTCCAAGGTAGCATCTAAAAATACATCCCATAGTGTGCTAAAATAAACATGATTTAAATATAGCTCTGTAGATGTAGATGAAATTAATCTTGCAATAAACTGGTAGGTTTATAAGGTGGAGTCGTGGGTGTATCATTGGTCAAGAAAGAACAAATGGTAAGAGTGGGAGAGGTCATGTGACAATCTGTAGGGGGTAATAAACTAGACATGACTAAGAGCAAAGCAAACAGTTGGGTAACTTGTATCTTAAAAATTGTGTGGAGTTAAAGAAAAATGAAGCAGTTGTTAGAATAGAGGCACATATGTATGTATATATATTTGAAATTCCTATTTTTAAAATGGTAGTAATTTTTCAAATGCAAATCACAAGTGTGCTTTTTTCTTGTTGGGACCTAAAGTGGGAAAAATTATTCTTCATGAAGAAATGGAAACTAGCTAAATAGGTGTTAATACATGTACTGATACTGTATAAGTTGTAATACCCATTCATCTGTATCTTGAACAGTGAGATAAAAATGTATTATTTTAAGGTAATCGTCTTCAAGAAGGAAGATGCAGGATCGAAAGCATACTACTACTATTGATGAGAAGATTGAATCGCATAAAAATAAACTCATGAAAAAACATTCTTCTCCAAGTAAGTGGCAAAAATTTGAGTACATATTACTAGTTGTTCTTATTAAATGGTGTAAATTTAAATAATTGATATTTACGAGCACGTGTATATGTGTTGGATAAATAAGAAATAATTGCACTGTTCTTTCTTCATTGTTATTTTTGTTGACAGTTTTGGTTAGAATATTTAATATATGTATCTAATTTTTATTATTTCTCATTTACTATTACTATTATTATACTTATAAGATTGCGAGATAGCAGATTCTACATTTAATTTTTATGGTTTTGTTTACTGTTCATTTATTATTCCTTCTATCATTTAGTTCAACTATGAATTTTTAATTATATTAAAGTGCCAACTCACCTTTCAGCCAGAACAGTTCAACTTGAGTATGTTTGTATCATGATTCTGGCGCAAGCTTCCCCTAGCAGTGATGTATGAATATTAATGTTGTGAAAGATTATATAGATTTATGATAATAGCTGGTCACATGAGATGTAACCTCATGGTCTAACCACTAAATAAAAACCCTGCCTTTAGCTTAAGTGAGTTAGTTCACGAGATATAGTTAAAACAAATTACTGCTGATTGTTATTGATCTTGGAGTGTTTTAATTTTGAAATACTGTTTTTTCAGAATTATGTTTTTTTCTTCTACTGGTTCTTTTTCCTAATTCCTTTAGTTATTGAAGTAATAAAATTAATATTTATGTTATATTGTTCATTAATATTAATATAAAGTCCTAGCCAGACATATATTTATTAACTGTGTTTTTTGTACATGATAAAATTTCTATACCAGTTGTTTGAAAGTTTTGTTTTGGGATATCTTTGGTTGTTAAAGTTTAACAATTTCTTTTTTGTTTGACCCTGGTTGTAGCAGCATATTGTTAGTCCATTACAAGATTTTGCTTAGTGTATAGATTTAGGACTAACCTAAATCTTACTGACCAAATCTTGTGAGATATTATTGGGATCACAGCTGATAATATCAATAACAGTGAGGGTAAATAACTGATAAAAGCATGCATTGTAATTATTATACCATAAGTAAGAATGCAAGAATAATATATTAAATTAGCTATACTCATTAATTCTGATCTATGTAGGTAGCATGCTTTGATCAGAAGTTAATGTTAATTATGTATAATCAGCGTTTTGTCACAAATTATAATGTGATGCATGTTTTTAACTTTTGCAGTTCTTTTTTTGTTTGTAGTAACTGCTTTCCAGCTATTATTTTGATGAACTTGTATTTAACTAATTGCTATATATTTCACAAATGTACTAGACATATGCTCAAATAGTTTAAATATTAAAACACCGTAGGAGATAAAGTGAACTTTAACTACTCATAGTATTCACATACTTCATGTCATACTTATTGGTTCATGAAGCAGTTTTTGTTTTTTTAAGTTTTTAAAATTTCCATTAAAACCTAAGCTTATTCTTAGAGCTTTAGTATAACAGCATTGGTGAAAAGATTTTTTAACTTTTGTTCACTGAGAGAATTGAAAAAAGCAGTTTACAATGACTAGAATTTTGGAAGATTATATACTTAATAGATAACTAGTTGTGTCAATCTTAATTCTGAAAACAAAATCTTCAGTGCAATCTCTAGACTTTAGTACAGTTTATGACTCTCATATTTGTGAACACTAATATTTTTTTATGCTTTTCTAGAGTTTGCTAACATATTTTACCATTCTTTTTCAATTTCAGTAGATGTTTACTTGAAAATCTGACAGTTTCAGCTACTTTATACTAGAAATTGTGTTATTGAGTTTTGTTTTATATATTTATTACCATAAGCTAAGAAAAGATTTCTTATATTACAAAAATTGTTCAATTGAATTACTGAATTGGTAAGACACAAGAAGTTATCAGTAGCAGGTTGATTACTGCCATATTATTAAGAATTATAAAATAGCTAAATGGTATAAAACAAACCTCTCTTATAAACATTTACACTATCAAAAGAAGTAGGAATTAATAATATATTCTCAGTTACATCAGATTTATGTTTTACTAATCAGTTTAGGTTTTCTTCTTCAAGAATAAAACAACAAATGCTGTGGTACCACTAGCAACTTACCATTTCACCAATGGTGATGGGAATCTCGAGCTACACTGAAACATTGATGTTGCATTCACTGACCAGAAAGATGGTAAAGAAATAGATGACTCACTTGTAGTGGTCTTTAACACAATAGATTTGCTGAATGCGAGAACATGAAAAACTGTGCAAACATTTTAGACCATGATATCGTATACTATTCAGCTACTATCATATCTGAACAATAAATATAGACAGTGGCTATATTTATGCCAGCTGTTAATGTAATGTTTAGGGACAATAAGGGGACCCGTTGATCCAGCTAGGCTGTCCCACCCAAAAGACGAGTGAACAAAAAACCTCACAGCCAGCCCTTATCATTAATACGATACATGTTTCTTCACTTTACACTAATATTCCACAAGATGAAGGACCAGAAACTCTAAAGTCCGCAATAAACCTTTCTGACCCATCAGAATCTCAAATAGTTAGTTATCTTTCCAGCCTGGTTTTAACTCTGAACAACTTTGAATTCAATAATGAATATTACCTTCAGGTTAATGGTATTGCAATGGGTAACAAAATGGCTCCCAATTATGCCAACATTTTTATGGGTCATAATGAAAACCAGCTTTTACAACTAACCTCGGTAAATCCTCATACATGGAAAAGTTACATAGACGACATGTTTTTCATTTGGACAGCCAGTCTTGAACCACTTAAAGAATTTATCTCATATACAAACTCCTTTCACAAAACAATCAAGTTTACCTTTGATTGATTGCCTACCCAAATTAACTTTCTTGACGTTACTGTCTTTTTAAAGGATGGAATTTTACAACCAACTTGTATAAAAAAAAAAACCTACAAACAGACCACAATACCTTCATTATAAAAGCTGTCACCCACTCACACTAAATGGAACATTACCTACAACCAAGCTCTTAGAAAAAAGAAAATATGCTCAGATAAAACAGACTACAGAAAACATACTAAGGATATAAAACAAACCATGTTACAAAGAGGATATAAGGATACTGAAATTGACAGACAAATTGAAAAAGCTAACAACACTCAGCAGAAAAACATCCTAACTCAGAGCAACACTAAAGTTTCAGATAGAATTCCTCTTGTTATTACCTATCAGTTTAAACTCAGAAATGTTCCATGAATTAGAAAAAACATTTTCATCTCCTACAACTGAATGATCACCTTAAACAGATATTTCCTGAAGTTCCTGTTATCTCCTTTTGAAAAAGCAGAACTCTTAAAAGATATCCTTGTTCACACAAAAGTGAATTACATCCCACCAAAAAATGGATGTCATCCATGCAGTAAAGCTCATTATCAAACTTGTAAGTACACAAAAACTACTCACTCGTTTTCTGACAAGCACAACCAAAGAATCTTTAAAATATTCAAAGAAATCACTTGTGGAACATAAAACATCAATTACCTTATACAGTGTAATAAATTCAATCACCAATATTTAGGACATACACAAAAACAACTCTTAGAGAATGTTTTAACAGCCATAAGTCTTCTATTAACACCGAAAAAGATCTCCCTGTTACTCAACACTTTAATCAACCCAGTCATTTCATTAATGATGTTACTTTCATTGGCATTGAAACAGGATTCAAAACTAAAGCTGATAGAGAAATAAAAGAAACTTATTGGATCGCTAATCTAAACACTGTTTGCCATTTTGGAATTAATCTAGATCCTGAAATCGGTGATCTCTGTTCATTGGTTTCATCTCTGTCAGAAAAATAATTTTTATTCTTTGCTTATTTCTTTCATGTAGTGTGAACCCTAACTTTCCTAAAACTTACTATTTATTTAAGATAATTTTTTATACCTGGGGGAAATGTTATTTGGTCCAGGGGTCTTATCATTCTATAAACTTCCCAGAATTGGTGTGATCATCTTGTTTCTATCTATCAACTGTTCAGGATGAGGAATATTGCTTAAATCTTCATTTGTAAAAACTGAAGAAAAAACAGAATTTAATAACCCAGCCATCTCATAATCATCAGATACGAGCCTTCCCTTATAATCCCTTTATAAGGCCCTACTGATATCCTAACATTTTGTTTACCCTCAATATATTTAAAGAAATCCTTACTGTTAATTTTTACATGTCCTCATTTTTTGTTTCACCAACTTTCTTTATCTTCTATATTCTTCTAAATCTTTTGTCATACTAGTCAATTTAAGTTTATGATGATTTTCTCCTTTATACCCTTTGTGAACTAACCTGGATTTTTATTTTCAGTCACCCTTTTCTTTCTATATGGAACATGTTTATCTTGAATATTTAAAATCTTGTTTTCAAAAATTTTCCACATTTGATCAGTGTATCTAAATAACTCAGCTGCCCAATTCACAACTAATAATTCTTGTTGCATCCTTTCAAACTTTGCTATTTTGAAACTTGGAACCAAAATGTCATTATTCCTGATCTCCATGTGCAGTAAAACATCAAACCTAATAGAGCAATGATCACTTGCACCCAGATTTTCCCCAATTTCCACCCTCTCAACCGTTTCTATGTTAGAAATTAAAAATAAATCAACAATAGCTTTGTTTCTAGTAGGTTCCTTGACCATTTGCTAGTGTTTGTCCAATGATCAGAAAGATGCTGATTCCATATGTGCCAATCCTTGACACAATTTCCATCAAAATTCAAGTTCTGAAAAGTAAGAGGTTTGGTGATACAAATATAACACATGCACAGTGTAGAAAAAGTATATTTTATTTAACATTAAAGAGCAAAGTTGTGTAAATTATAAATCATTATGCACCACAATGTTAAAACGGGTTTTACACCTTATTCAACTATATAGAATACAGTTGTGCAATTATAAAGTAGATACATAACACAATAGGAAAAAAATGGTAAATTGTGCACTTTATTAATACTGAACCAGCTCAGGAGTTGATGGTTGGTTCTTTCAGTCAGCAATTCACAATTAGAACCTTTAGTAACTTAGCTGTATTTCAAAAATAAACAAATATATTGTCCCCATGGCTGAAAGGGTGAACAAGTTTGGAAGCAATGTAAATCCAACCCAAAAACCCGCAACTAAACAAGGCAATTCCCCAAACCCCCCAATCACCAAGCTATGCTGCCCCAATGCTGAACAAATTTGAATTAATAAAGAAAAACTTGTGCTCAAAATCAGGTTTTTGTATTCATGGTGGGCAGAGCACAAATAGCTCACTGTGTAGCTTTGTGCTTAACAACAAATAAACATAATGGAAATATTTCAATTATATGATTATTTTCATGAGTTGTGCTTACCAATCAGTTAAGCTAAACAAAATTGAATTAATTAAAAATAACAATCAAAAATAATAATGACAGTATTTTGATTATTGGATAGTTGGAATAATTGAAAACAGTAATTACCTGAAGCACTAATTTTGATTAGTTGATTATTTTTCTGTCATTAATCAATTTAATTGTAATTTTTGAGTTAATTTCCCAGCTCCATAAACTATTAAAATTCTTCATTAAATAATGACTAAAACTGATAACTGTTTCTTGAGAATTATAATTTAGTCATCAAATATTTTGGCCAGGTGGATAAGGCGCTCCACTTGCAATCTGAGGGTTGCGGGTTCGAATCCCCATCCCACCAAACATGCTCGCCCTTTCAGCCGTGGGGCCGTTATAATGTGATGGTCAATCCCACTATTCGTTGGTAAAAGAGTAGCCCAAGAGTTGGCGGTGAGTGGTGATGACTAGCTGCCTTCCCTATAGTCTTACACTGCTAAATTAGGGATGGCTAGTGCAGATAGCCCTCGTGTAGCTTTGCACGAAATTCAAACAAAAACAATCATCAAATATTTATATTATTCTTTTTTTCTTTTTTTGATGTTGAGTTCACTTTCTCAATATTTATAGATGTATGTATGTAATATTTATAGAGTCAATTTTTAAATTGATAAGGAATTCATAACTTTTAAGAAACATTTCCCTTTCAACTTAATGTTCAAGGCCTTTTCTGTATCTCACTTTACTTTCTCAAGGAACTATTATTCTTGTTATACACATTTACATTTAACGTAGCAGAAGCTTTGAATTAGTGTCTTTCACATCATATAGATTTCTCTTGGATTGAATTTGTGGACAATCTGTTGAAATGTTTACATGCGTCATATTATATGAATGTATATGTTTACATCTTTGTTAATAATGCTGCATTTGTGCATGTCTTATATCCTGATAATCATATTTATAAATTCAACCATTTTACCATATATATATAAAAAGTATTCTTTATGTCTTTGGTTATTTAAGATGTACAATGTGTTGTAGGTTGTATGGATACCACATTTTATTGATGTTAAAACAATAAGATTAAAAGCTTATATAATCGTACTAAAATATAATAGATCTAACTTGTATGTTTATAAGTTAAAAATATGTAAATGTTTCATCAATCCATTCTCACATTTTATTGTACTCATTCGTGGATATGTTTTAGATGAGTTTCATAATTGGCCAGACTTTCGTTTTGAGGAACATATTCTAGAGCTTGATATATTTTTTTATTTAACTCCAGTGTATGCACTGTGTGGCATATTTCATTAAGCATCAGATATTTTGTTGGAAAAGTGGTAAACAAGTATCATTTAATTAGTGCATTAACCCATTAACTGCTACAGGAGCAGCTCAGTTGCTGTTTTCTGACTCGCAGATAAAACTGAGTTGCCATCAATCACAATAAAACGGTAATTATCGTCATTCGCATAGAGTTATAGTTATATATGTACGACTGATGGATATTTCCGTCATTCGCATCTGAGCCATAGAACTTCAGTGAAAGAAATATCCGCAGTTAATGGGTTAAGAGTATGATTCACCCAGCTCTAGTAATAATCTCTAACTTAATAGGGCAGCAATAATGCAATTAAATTACCCCTCTGGCTAGTAATTTGATTTGTTTAGAAATGAAAGGTGGGTGGAGTTTACAGTTGCCATCTTCCATTGAAAATCTGGTGTATTGTAAACAATGAAATTCAGTTCTAGATCAAACCACACAAACCGTAATTGGTCAGTCAGAAAATCACTTTCACATAGTAATGTAATGTTAATAATTGTGCAAATACGATTTGTTCCTGTAAAAGTCTGTAAATACCATTGGTTCAATTAATTGGTTTGCCCTGTAGTAATTACTTTATTATAGCCTTCTGTTTAGCTCAACTGTTGATGCTACCCAACATCAGCTGCAATTATAACTTCGATCAGTCATTATAACATCTGGTTTTTGCTTCTGCTACTAAATTTTGTTTGTTTGTAGCAAAGCTACACAATGAGCTACCTATGCTGTGCCCACCACGAGTATTGAAACCTAGTTTTTAGCATTGTGGGTCTGCAGACATACTACTGAACTACTAGGGGGCTTGCTGCTGAAATATCTCATTTTCTGAAATAATAAACAACAAAAAAGATGGACATTTTAATTGAAAACATGAAATTGAGATTATGAGCTGCCTTCATTATTTCATTTAAAAAAAAAATGCTCCAAAATATATCCAACTCAAAATACTTTATACGCTTCCTCTACGAGAGAAATCAGTTTGGCATTAACATTTCAAATGGTTTGAAAGGACCATACTCTGATGCCCAGCAAATAAAGTTCCAAGTGAAAAAATACATTCATTTCAACGTGATTGATTTTATGGATGACAAACTTACTTACTTCTAATACAGAATTTTAAAAGTTTTATTTTATTTTCATTGCTTGAATAAAGTTGAAATTCAGTCTGTTTCATATCTGCTGAGTAGACCAATAAGTAAAGATAATATTCCTCTTGTAAAATTTAAGATTATAAATAACAGACCCATAAATTTGTTGTAACTGGCATATTTTTGTACACCAAAGCTATATAACTTAATAAAAAATTATTGTATCTAAACATAAGTGTGAGATAACTAAGCAAAATCACAAATCTCTTGGTTTACATCTGGCCAATCTGGAGACTGCTTTTAGGCATATTTGAGATGAAGAAAAATTTATCCACGACAAAAATGCTATTGAAGAGGAAAGATAAAGTTGCATCTTATGGTAATTAATTGCTTTCAACTGTTGCATACAATTAGTAAACATTTCAAACTGTATTGTGTTGTTCACATTTCTTGGAATTACTCCAAGAATGTTTTGAAGTTACAGGCTTAATTAAATGTTCTGTTGTAAAAATTACAATTATTGAAATAGGTTAACATGATATTTTAAATAATAATACCTGATAATCTGAGGTGTTGCATCAGATCATATGGTTTATCTATTGTACTTAAGCAGGCTGTCTCATGTTTTCCTGGCCAAACCTTTCAGATGGCTGTTGCTGGATATAAATTTCCTGTTTTATTGCTGTTTAATAATTAAATATGTTTTTATTACCTTGTTTTAAGTAGTGTTCCTATGTTAATGTTTAAATAATAATTTCTGACAATTTCACTATTGAAAATTGTAAGTTATTTTGAAAGTGACATTTCACATTTGATTATAGATAAATACATAATCTCAACAATATTTGTAATTCCCTATTTAGTAAACCTGTTGCCCCCCAGTGGCACAGTGGTATGTCTGCGAATTTACAACGCAAGCATCCGGGTTTTAATACTCGTGGTGGGCAGAGCACAGATAGCCCATTGTGTAGCGTTGCTTAATTACAAAGAAAGAAAGAAAAAGTAAACCTGTTGTACAATATTATAATTAATGGTAAAATGTGAAGCACAGTATAAAATTTCATGATATTGTAATATGATTAATTAATAATATGATAAGTACCATTGTTTTAATTGTATGACTTAACATTTTTTAGCACTGACTGTCTTTTTTGTGATTTCCACTTAGTATTTATGTATTAAAAATTAATGCTTTTGTGCTTCATTGCTATTAACATTAGTGGTTCAATCAAAAATAGCAGCTATGATTTATGTTTTGTCTTTATTAATTTTTTTTTTCATTGAAACAGATGTTACTTCAGAAAGAGACAAGATATCTGGTGGAACTGCAGAAAAAAATAAATCTCATAAACACCACACAAAAAGAAAAACACAAAGAAAAAGACAAAGAACGAAAGAAGCATTCAGTTTCTGGTGGTAAAAATAACGATAGGCATAAAAAGCATAAAAAACATAAATCAGATAAACACCGAACTATTGAAACAAAAGAAGTCACAAGTCCAAGTGAAATGCAAAAAGAAAGCAATTTTTATGAGGAAGCTATACATCTCCAAAACCATTGGGAGAACACTCCTGACCTGTTAGATTTTAACTCAGAACTTCATAGAGCTCCGACTCCTGGAGGGGAAATTGAAAGTGAGTTCTGTTTAGCTGATGACATGCCGTCACCTATAGAGGAAGGATTGCGGATACCACCTCCTGATCAAGAACCATGGGAATGTTCCAACTTCCATGGAATGCTTAATAATTGTCATAAGAGTGGAGATAATTTTGAAGGATTTTCTGTGGACTTTTCACAAGCCTTAATGCCTCATGGCAGCCCTGTAAATGAATTGAGGAATAATTTTGAACTAGAACATAAATTAAGCCCAAACATTTCTAGTGTTGGTTCCTCAATGGTTCGAAGTGAGAATTATTTGAGGAATAAATCTGATGATGAATCTGAAATGTTGATGAAAAGAAAAAGTGTTGAAAACATTGCTGAAGACAATGAGCATACACATTTTCATCCACCAAAAAGAAAAGTAAAGAAGATTACTATTAATGAGTGTGAAGAAGGTATACTGAATGTCAAACATCAAGAGAAAAACAGTTGCTGGATTAAATATAAGTCTGAAGCAGGAATAGATGTTTATCCCCTAAGCAAAGTAACAAACATTTTTGAGAAAGACTCTAAGGAAGAAATAGTCAAAACAGATTATCAAAATGAAATAAGTATTTGTTTGGAAGATAAGCTTATAACAAGTGAAGCCAGTTGCTCCCCCAAAATAGTCAAAAAGGTAACCACAAGTGACTCTGAAACAGAAGAATCAGAAAATAAAGAGCAAAGTAAAGACAACAGGTGTTCTAAAAATAAGGACAAATTTGAAACAGAAGACAATCACTCCTCAAAAAGAAAAAGAAAAAATGTTTGTAGTGGTAGATCAGTGGAAGATATATCAGTGGTTGAAGAAAAGATAGACAAGTCAGGCAAGTGTAAAACAAAAGATGCTCATTCTCCAAAACAAAGTTTAAATGATCTTGTCACTGTTGTTTCAGAAGAAGAGAATAACAAACAGAAAAGCTGGATTAATGAAAAGCTTGAAAAACAAGATACTCATTTCCCAAGTGAAAAAGAAATGATTGCAAGTGACACAGATGAAGAGTTACGAAAGAATGAAGAACAAGAAAGAAAAAATTCAAAGACTAGGGAAGAGCTTGAGATGCCACTGAAAAATCATATGTGGTTTAAGGAGGAGTCTGAAATAAATGATGTCTGTTCAGTTGAGGAAATAGTTCAACATGAAAGTAATCATGTTGAAGATGATAAGTCAGTAAGTGGTCAATTAGATGCTAATGATGAAAACTGTATAGACCTGAAAGTGGAAAGGGAAACGGTAAATACTGAAAAGTTAGTAGAACAGTCAGTTGACCAGGTAGGATCTGGTCAAGATGAAAATAATTCAGCTGGTATTGTTAAAGAATGTGAACTTGAACAATCCCTATTACAGGTGGTTGAAGATTTAAAAGAAGAAAAAAAAGAATTGAATAGTTACGCAGATGAAGTAGTTACCAAAGCTGCTGTACCTACTGACCAAGAATTTTCACAAGAAAGTAGAAAACCAGTGAAAAGACTAACAAAGTTTATTAGAAATGAAGAATTCTCAACAGACAACAGTTTTCAAATTGAAATAGATAGTAAACCATGCATTGGTAAAACTCCATCAAAAATGATATTGGGGAAAGAGGTTTTAACAGAAACTACCAATCCATCAGAAAAACATAAAAAAGTTATCAAGAAAAAAGATTCTCAGAAGAGCTTTCAAAATAAAGAAAACAAAGAAAAACCCACATCTTTACTAAAAACTAAATCCTCAGCTTCAACCCAAAGTACAAAAGAGAAACAAACATCTCATCAAACAAAGGTAAAACTAAAAAGGAAAAGAAACAAAGACAAGGCAAAAGAATTTGTTGAACTTGAAAAGCCCAACTGTGATAAATCAGTGCACAAGAAAATATTGAACTCTTTGAAAATTAAGAAAGACTATGTGAAAAAGCAGAAAAAAGATGAAATTATTAATTCTTTAGCCCGTAGCAGTGAAAATGTCAGTGATGAGGATGAGGCTTTACCCAAAGCTTCAACTGACATAAAGGATACATTTTCCAGGAAAGAAACTAAAACCAAGTCAAAAACATCAAACAAGAAGTCTGAAACTCATAATAGTAAGAAGGATGATAAAAATAAAAATTTACTTAAATCCAAAAAGAAATCTCCATCAGATGTCATTAAGTCTTATCACAAAGTTCAAGATGTAGAGAGTAGTATACCAATTAGTAACATTAATTTTACAGATGGCTTGCATAAAAAAAAGAAAGATTCTTCAAAAAATAATAAAATTGAACACATCATGTCATCTCCAAATAATATCAGTACTGAGAAAAAAAATAGCAAATCTGTTCTGAAAAATTCTGGGAAAGTCAAAACCAAAGAAAACAAAGCCTCAAAATTGTATACAAAAGAAAAAGAATCAAAATGCTCAACAACAAATATGCTTTCTGCTAATGATGTGAAAAAAGAATTATATTTTGGTGCTGCAAAAGCAAAAACTGTACATTCTGAAGGGAAGGATACAGTCATGTCTTTGGATGTAAGTAATTCCCTGAAGGGAATTAGAGAAATATCAAATCTTAAAGATTCTTCACCCACTAAAGTAAGAAAAGTAGAAAAGGGTCAGAACAGTAATATATTTGTTACAGACTCCTCGGTTGTCGTTACTTCTAAAATGCCAAAATTATGCTCTCGATGTCAGAGAAAGATGACAGTTCGCCACAATGTTGGGATTCAGTGCAAGATTGACAGAAACCTTTTATGCCCCATAACATCTATACAGGAAACTGTGGTGTCACTGAATATTCCCCGTTTGCTTCCATCAACTGACTTTAAGCACCTGAAATATGGAAAATTTATCAGGAAAGAAGTGTACCCAAATGGTGGGGCATCTGTACTTCACTTATATTGGAATGAGATAGCTCATTTGAAAATGAATGATTTGAATGAACTAGCTTTGGAGTTTCTAAAGGTTTGTGAATATTTCTGTTTTACAAATATAAGTTTAGCAAAGTTTATTAATGGTTGTTGTTTACTGTTCATTAATTTCAAATGGTCCAGTTTGGGAAGTTTTTTTTAAAATAATAATAATATTGATTCTGGCCTGTTCATGTGTGTTTTTTCAAACAAGTTTTCATCTAAGGTGATATTATTATGTATTTAAGACAACACCTTAGTGTAGAATTTTATTAAATATTTTATTTTTCTAAACAAATAATTTCATCAATTAGCCTAAAGACTGCTAGGACTTTTTCAAATAGCTAATATTGGTAAACTTACAACATTTTGGCTTGCATTATTTTACTGCTTATTTGATACATTGCATTTTATAAAACAATGTGTAATATTAACCATAATTTTGTGACTTAACCAGGCTTTGATTGTTATTAAATCTGGAGTAATTATTATTAAGAAAATTTTTTATTTTACTAAAAATATGCTGTGGATTAGGGCTTCCATTCTATGCTTACAAAACCTTTCATAAATTTATTGCCCAATCTTTTTTTTAATAAGTCATATGTTTGTCTTTAATTAGGTGAAAACAATTAATTTATTTTTGCAATTCATTTTGCAAACAGACAAGATTAATATCCTGTGGTTGAGTATGTTATATTAAACTGATTTTGGAGTCCTATCTGTATCACCACATTGAATTTTGCCCTGTCCGATGACCATACATCTGGACAATAGCCATACAATGTAGTTTTTCAGTGCAAGAGGCTCTGTCATAAGCTGTCATGTTCAGAGCACACCACTCTTCCCTTGCAGGTTTTCCATAATGCATCTAATATATGTGGTCTGCAGTTTTTCTGTGCTCATTCAAACATTCAGTTGACAGAATTCCATGGGCCCAGCATCCATTGACTTGAATGCCATGTTATTTTATGAAATAGCATGATTACCTGTTTCATTCTCTCTATCTTATTGAACACGTACCCTGTTGGCATTGTTTCCATATGGAGATCCTTACTGAATATAGTGTGTGTGTGTGCTGTTGCCTAGGGCAACTGGGTGGCTTTTTTTGTTTGTGAATTCTCACCTGTTAAAAGATGCTGAATTTTGCTGAGGTATAACGTATTGCTTGTCTCTTTCTGGATGGTCCTGGTGTCCCAAGTTGATCCATATTCCTTTGTTTCCAATATATTTAAGTGCAAGAGATATACCTATTTGGAAAGTCTAAGTCCTGGATTTGAACACATTTTTTATCAACTGAGTATGTGAATGTTTTGCATCAGAAAGTGCTATTACATACCCTTCTCAAAAGTGATTAAGTTTTTGTGGCATCTCACTACCTACAAAACACCAAACAATGTCAAAATGTAGCTCTGATCAGTGTTATTCCACTACAAATTTATATCAGTTGTGGTTGTTACCTGACTTACTGGTTTGCATATCAAAAATTGTTTTAATATAATGTACTCAACTCTGTATACATACATGCATATTCTTAACACATACAAGTGCAACAGAGTAGGTTATTACTACATGTATTAACATCTTTCATTTTCTGTGCATTTAGTAATAACAGCTGAATTGTCATTGTAGTGTCCTAGGAAATCATAAACTTTTTAGTTAACTGGCTGGTAAAAGATTCAAATCCCTGGTAGCCCATATACTTTGTTTTTCCACTATTTATGTGAACTTTTTTTTTCCAAATTCCGTAGAAGCCATAAACCTAAGTAATTATCAAAAGTTTTTCATTGTACAGGTTTCCCACTGAATCATATACAAAATTATCAATGCAAAATCAGCATATTCCTCCTCCTATTTGATACTGTGTTTATTCTACATGTATACTTCATCCAGGCATAAGCCTGTATGTCTTTTTCACATAACATATTCAAAAGTATTCCAGATCTAAAATTTTAAATATAAACTAAATGGTATGTTATATTAAAAACAATCAATGGTTTTTTAAAGATTTTTCAGTACTTATTTTTGTTAGTTTAATAAGCTAAAGTCTACGTGAGACATGAGTGAAACAGTAAAAGACAATGTGTGACAGTTGCAAATATGGACTAAGCATTGGCATTTGGGAATATTTTCTGGTCCATTAAGGTATATGCTCAGAAAAAAATGTCTGAACAGGTATTTATTATTTTACAGGAAATTAGCTTATGCAAAGTGTGATCTAATTTAGTCTTACAATGATAAATTTCTTACATTAATTCCCTCTGTGGCCACATTTTTTATTTGTTGGCTTAAATAAGTGATTTCATTCTATCTAATGTGCAAGTATACATTAAACTTCATACACTGTCTATTGAACATGCAATTATTGCAATAAACTGTGTGGAGGTATTTTCTTTCTTTAATACTTTTTAAGAAGTTGTAATACATCTTATAACCTTCTCTCTTTTTTTTTCGGGGGTAGGCGGGGTGGGGTGGGTGAACAACAAATGAGACAGTAAAATGTCTATTTTGCTGGTGATCTTTTCCAGCCACTAACTATGCTAATTAGTGGTTGAAAAAGCTAATTTCAAACCTTGTTTGATAATTCAACTGATTCGTAATATTTTTTATTAATTAAAGAATTGTTTAAGTGGAGCAGTGAAGTTTTACAAAGAGAATGACTTCTCTTATACATGTAAAATCTTTTAATTTTGTTAGGGGAGATTAGTATCACATGCATTTGCAAGTTATTTCAGTTTCTCTGAACAAGCTAAGTTTCTCAGTAATTATTATAATTCCTTTCTGGAGTTCTTAGTAATGAGTTAATGTGCTTTAATGTGTATATATATACATTTTAACACTAATCAAGGCAGGCATATTTCACAAAAGTTAAAAAGATATCCAGTTTGGGCAGAAACTGATGTACCTAGACTACAACTGCCTGGATTTACAAATTTTACAGTACTGCTGAGACCAAAATAAAAAAAAAGTTTGTTGCCCATGTGCAGCCAATGTGGAAAAAAGACCGACTCAAAATATTTCAAGTGATTGAGTTATTTAAAATTGTTTCAAGTTGTTGATGATCAACATCACTGAAATGCTTACTGTCTAGTTGTTGAATAAGAGTTAAAACTAAACTAAGAAAAGGGTCAAAATTTAGAATAATTAAAGGTAGTACTGACTTAGAACTTTTTTTTGAAAATGCAAGATCTTTTTTTGTGTAAGGATGATCTTACTAAAGAATAAAACATCCAAACTTTCAAATAAGGTTCATGTAGTACGATATCACATGAATTATTATGTCAACCTCAACAAGGATGCATAATATATTTGAAAGATATGCTTTTCTATTTTCTAAAATATGGGAAAAGCTAAAAAAAGGAGGGTGGACCTGTATATAGCATGTAAACTCATGCCACTTCAATTACAGCTGGTACTTCCTTTATTTCTCTACAAATTTTGCATTTAGTGGTACCATCTTTCAACTTTGTAATTGTAAGATTGTGTATAATCTGAATAAAAATTGCTGATAGTTTATTGTGACCTCACACCAGTATTGTATTTATTTGCTCCAGGCACTATCTGGATTAAGTGTATTTCTGGTGTGCAAAAGTCTGAATGTTCCTTTCCAGATACATATGTAGATATAGATGAAGAACAATATAGTTGTTTGAAAAAACTACCTTTATTATTATGCTCTGTTTAGTTTCTTCAACATTGTGTTTTTTAGTAGTTATTTATTTGTTTTTATTCAGAGTAATATTACAAATATTCAAAGTATGATGTGTGGTTTTGTTTCTGTTCTACATAATGTGTGGAAATAACTATTCTTAGAATCAGCAAAAACACTAGTAACTTTTCCCCCGTTTCTGATGTTTGATAAAACTAGTCTTCCATCATGAAAATCAAGGTCACGAAAGTGTGTCTGATGGGGCTTCCAGTTACATCTTTGATGTTCTCATGCTATCTGTTATATATGCTCTATATTTACCAGTAAACTGCAGAAATGATTGAACATACAGACACTTTTACCTGTTTGAAGTAGTATATTGATGGCTAGATACTATTGAAAGTTGCCTACTGTCATTATTCTTAGAACTATTATTTAACGTGATTTAAACAGATTGAACAGCTGTGCATTAAATGTGTAAATGTTTAACTATATTCAGCATTTCTTCCATTATTTTCGTTTATTGGATCTTGATTCTGTACATGCTATCACGAAAGAATCTATGGATAGTACTTAAAGAAAAGGGGGAGTCTACCCATTAACCCACCTTTCTTGGACAGGGTGTCGGGCATATGCAAACAGAATTTTTTTTTTTAATATAGCCTGACAGCCACCTAGGGGTGTACGTAAAAAATATTTTATTATTATAATTTCTGGTTTAGATGCCAGTAGGCCTAACATTTTTGCTAACCTTGGACAAATGAAGAGAATTGTTGAATAAAATATCTGCAGTTTACATTATTTCTATTTCATTATTACCTTTAATGAGTACCCTCTTTGACACAATATTTCTAACTGTGCTGCATAGGTATGATAGTAGCGAGTCTTGCCAGCTGCCCCATATGTTAATTGCCTTGGCAACCAATAAAAGAAGCTGACACTGCTGTCTCGCTGTTCCCATTTCCTGATACTTAGCCTGATATGTCATGCAGCTCAAATGGAGATGGCAAAACCAACATGGCACTGGAAAGTGAAATAGTGAATTTTGTTAATCTCGGTTTTAGTCAGCACTCAAGTTATAAAAGTTAACTATCAAAACTCCTAAAATCTACTCACAGATGCATGTTATCACGGTCAGGTATTTGAAAGTCAGAGTTTCAATTTTTTTTCTATCAACAAGGGAAACAGCATTCCCCTCCATTCTCCCTCAATTCAAGCACTGGTTATAGTAACCTTCTGTTACTCAGAATCTTGCAGTATAAATTAGTGAAATGTATATATATGAAGGGTGTATTGTTACTTCACTATAAAAATCTGCAGATCTTTCTCCTGAAATATGTATTAGATTTTCTTTTCTAGTACAAGTAAAAGTCCAATACTAATTGGTCACTTTCCTAGTGTTATTTTGAAGTCCTTGAAAATAAAAATATTGATTTTACTTTTTTTTAATAATTAAAGAAAACAACAAAAACAAGATGCTGTTTATTCCCACACATCATAATTTACGTTATCAACAGTAAAAATATTGTATGTTGTGTAATGCCTTGGCTAGTGAAGCACAAACCATTACTTAGTAAATAGGTTGGATATTATATCTCATTATGACTGTTAATAATTTCATTGGAATAACAAATGCTTTTGTACATTGTTTTCCAGTATTAACTTAATAAAGAAGTAATATTACACCTATTAGAAATTGGTATTCCAAAACATGCATACCTCCTCTCACACTTATAGCTATTACTTAACTGCCAGGGTTTCTTTCTTTGCTCATCTAAGCATTGATCTGATTTTTTCTTGCTTGCTCCAGCCTTTTACACCCCACTCAATTGCCCTTGGCGATATTTATCTTGTGATACTTTTCACCTACGTCAATGGGCCCTCTATCCTGGTACTGTATATAAGTACCTTATTCAGATAATGTTATCACTTTTTCTCGACAAAGTGTTTAGGAATGGGTTTTTCTAAAAAAAAATACTACAGTTGTTATTGTCCTTGGGTGTGATTTTTTGAGCCACCTGGTTGATTTACGATTAATAATAGTAATAATACAGGTTACTGTTTTGGGCATGGGGGCTAATCAGACCTCCCCTGCTCTACCTCTGTTATCTAGCATTTCTCAACAGTCAGGGTGGGGTGGGGTTTTCACTCTTAGTTGAGGCTGTCTGTGATTGATTCATAGTGAGATAGTGACATATATTTGGTTCAGGGGTGTTTCTCCAGGAGGTTCTAAGGCTGTTTTTGCCAGGACATTCTGAAGAGAATTTAGACTCGCTTTTTCTGGTGCATTTGTTTATTAGGTCGGCTTCTCTGAGGCCAATTTGGATCAGCCACCTCCTGCTACTTTTTTTCAATCGGGTGTGTGAGGTTCTAGGGTTTTCCCCAGTTACTTTTGAATCTACTCCTTCCTTGATGGCAGAAACGTCTGAGGGCAAATACTTTGTTTTTCCTCCATCACCTGATATTGCAGTTTATGTGGGGAGGTTTACTGCTCAGTTACGTGAAGGGATAGCTGTGCCTTGCCCGCCACATTTGTTGGAACAACATGCTTTGGCTTATCACCACCAGGAGGATGTATATTTAGATTCCCAAAGACTTGATCCATTTTTGGAAATGTGGGGTTCCAGAATGGAGCCTGTGATCAATTTGAACAGATCACAATTTTATAGGATTCGTCTGACCCTCACTACAGTTCTGAGATATTTATCTTCCTTCCAAGTTTTGTTGGAAGCCTCTCAGCGATCCCCACAACAATTTGATAAGGATTTGGGACCTTTGCTGACATCAACCTTGGTGGGATTGTCAACTTCTGTTCTTTCTTTTGTTTCCTAGCTTGTATATTGTTGGGACTTATTGTTCATAATTCAAGACCAGATGAGTTCTATTTCCTTTGGTTGAGTAAGGCATACATGATCCCCTCATTCCAAGCCTGAGGTGTTGCCTTTTGTGCTTCTCTAGGTAGAGGAGAAGGTTTTTTCTACTTCGGTGTTACTTACTTATATAATATATAAAACATTGTGGTTCAATTGCCCTAGCAACCAATTTAGGATATAGGGACCAAAACCCCTTAATTCCAACCCCAAGTAGTAGAACCTTGGCTGGTCTATAGTGATGATCACTCATGTACAATTCCACCAACGATACAGAAATTAAGTTCAGGGTGAAGAGCATATCTGTTTTGGGTGTAGTGCAGTTCTCCCACTAGGGTGCCAATCTTCTGTCGACACACCCATGATCTCTGCAGATGCTTTCTGTATGGATAGTGCCCTCATTGGCCCCCTCCACCTTATCAGTGTGGGATTCTAGCTGTAAGTGTCAGCAGAAGTAATTATGTTTTGGAAGTTAACATTTTCCTAAATTGAAAATGTATTTCTAATACTTACCTCCACTGACACTCTCCTGCCCTTCCTCCTTACTAATAGCCATCGTTAGAGACTGGGATGGAATCAGTCTCAAAAAAGTGGTAACATTATCTAAATAAGGTACTTACATACAGTACCAGGATAGAGGGTGTATTGACGGAGAGTATCACGAGTTAAATATCACCAAGGGCAATTGAGTGGGGTATAAAAGACAAGCAAGAAAAGGTGAAACCAATGCTTAGATGAGAAAAGGAAAAAACCCTAATAATAGCTATAAGTGTGAGAGGATGTAAGTATTATTGGACAATGCTTTCAATTTGGGGAAATGTTAGCAGCTGTGTTTCGCCAGTTCAGATGTTACACACAATAAGACTTTGTGACATATACAACAATTTTAATTAGCATTTCCGTTAAGACTATGTAACCCAGTACAATTCTTAATTGGAAGGTCTTAATTGATAAGGATACACAACAGGTACGGGGGAATTGTAATACAATTATACATTATTCTCAGGGAAAACCTGTAAAAATAATGTAATTATAATTACATGTTATTTTTATGATGTGGTATCACATCTTTGACTGAACAAGATATTTTGTCTATTTGATGTTGCAAATTTTATTTGAAGGGAGATGGAGGAATCAAAGCTACTTCTAACTTATACTTCAGTAAAATTATTTTTTTTATCATAATGACCTTGTCTAAAACTAAACTAGTAACATTGTCTTTCTGTGTTTTTTGTAAACATTTATTAATCCAAAGCCAAGTTCAGTCTTTCATCTCTTGTTAGAATTTCAAATCCTAAATCTGTTCTTTTATTGGTGTACATGTAATTTCCTTAGGGTAAGAAACTTATATAATTATTTTATCTGTTATGATTATCTCAGCAGTATGATTCTAAATTGAATTTATTTCTAAAATAAGATACTTTCTCATTTTAAAAAACAACAGAAATTTTCTGGTTAATAGGAGACATTTGTTGAAGATTCCCCTGGTGTGGCTCGGCATGTCATTGGGATAGTTCACAATGCAGCTTACAACTTACCAGATTTGTTGGAACTTATGGCTGACAAATACCCTAACCTGGTTGTTAAGATGGGCACATTAACCAGGACCTCGGATATTGAGACAACTACAATGGCTAAGTGTAGAGAACAAGTAAGTAAAAACTCCTGAGTTATCATGAAAACCATAATCTAGTGATTAGTGTAGGCAATTTAATCATGACCTTGGATATTGAGTCACCAACTATGGCTAAGTGTAGAGGACAAATGTGGTATCACTCTGTACTTGGATTTCTGACAGAACAGTTAATTAGGATATTGAGACACCAACTATGGCTAAGTGTAGAGGACAAATGTAGTATTACACTGTACTTGGATTTCCGACAGAGCAGTTAATTAGGATATTGAGACACCAACTATGGCTAAGTGTAGAGGACAAATGTAGTATCACTCTGTACTTGGATTTCTGACAGAACAGTTAATTAGGATATTGAGACACCAACTATGGCTAAGTGTAGAGGACAAATGTAGTATTACTCTGTACTTGGATTTCTGACAAAACAGTTAATTAGGATATTGAGACACCAACTATGGCTAAGTGTAGAGGACAAATGTAGTATCACTCTGTACTTGGATTTCTGACAAAACAGTTAATTAGGATATTGAGACACCAACTATGGCTAAGTGTAGAGGACAAATGTGGTATTACACTGTACTTGGATTTCTGACAGAACAGTTAATTAGGATATTGAGACACCAACTATGGCTAAGTGTAGAGGAAAAATGTAGTATCACTCTGTACTTGGATTTCTGACAGAACAGTTAATTAGGATATTGAGACACCAACTATGGCTAAGTGTAGAGGACAAATGTAGTATCACTCTGTACTTGGATTTCTGACAGAACAGTTAGTTAGGACCCATTAACAGAAGGTATGAAGGACACCATGTCACACAGAGTTTGTGTTCTTAAATTCAATCCAATTTAAGTTAATGTTATATTCAAAATTAAATAAAAATATTGCAAAAATCTGCCTAGCAGAGAAGAACCTGGCTTTAGATTCTCATAAAATAAAATCAGTAACAGAACCAGGTTTTCTCTCATTTGCCAGTAGAAAAGACAGCTTTTTACTCTAGTATGCTACGAGCTTTCCTGCAAAAAAATGCCAAGTTTTCAGTGAATCTAGGTCCCAGCCAGAGATAGAATGACGAGTTAAATTTGTTTTCTTGAGTAAATTTGTTTGTCCAAATTGAATGAAAGAAAAACAAAAGTTTTGAAAACTTAACTTATTACCTAAGGGAGAGAAAACACATGGTACCGTTCTATACCAAACTTTCTTCCCCTCTAGCCCTAATTCTAAAACTACCGAAAAACAATAACTTTAAATGCATGTTGCTCAAGAAAATGGTGACCTTGTCCTTGCAAGCTATGTGACAAGTAGTTTAGCAAAAACAACTTTGAAAAACACTACCACAAAAGAAAGTGGTTGCACCCCTTTTATGAGAAGGGGGGTCTAACAGACCGTGCTTCACAAAAATGAACTAAAAGGTTAAAACACCTCTTTAAGGAAGAAAATATGGCTGTATCCAATAACAATGATATCGCCAAAAAAGATGCCAGTTGGGGAATTCAGGTTCAGGGCGGAGCTAGCATGACAAGAAGTTTGGTATGTTTGCTTGAGCAATTTTTTTTTGTTATAGCTGAACTGGAAAAAACAAAATAAAAAACAAACAGAAAACACATGGTATCATACTGTACCACACAAGTAAGTAAAACTTTCTGAATTATCTTGAAATTTATACGTTGTTACATTGGTTAAACTAACTAAACTTTTAATGATATGTGAAAATGAGCAATATCAGTTTTTTAAACATTTGCAAAATTGGTAAGTATAACTAGAATCAAAGACTTTGATTTTTTATTGTGTAATTGATGGTCTGCAAAAATTATAATTAAAATTTGTAATTATGCAGGTCCCTGCTGCCAAAATGTTTTGGTACCATCAATTTCTAGACTGTAGTTTATAAAAGGGTTGAGGTTGAGCTTGATATTAGGGCTTGGCAATTAGTGGAATGTACTAATTGATTATTTATTAGGCTCATTGACACTATAAGAATGCAGTTGGTCAATTTGACTGTTGGAACTGTTAAACTATACATACTAAAATTTGATTTTATTAAGGCAGGGTTTTAGTAAACATTGCAAGTGTTTTATGCACAAGAAAAGAGATTTTTTAAAAAAATTATTTCTACTAAAACTTTATCTTTAACTTTTCAAAGTCTCTATTGAGTCAGTCTGATTGAAAGGTGATTTTCATGCTAAGAAAAAAAAAAAGACTTCTTTTCACCTTAAAATTTTTAGTATTTCATTTACATAACCTCTAGAACCTCCTAAATGAGTATAAATTTTTTTTTGGAGGGGGGTGTAAAACTATTTTGTTATGTTATTTGCTCTACCATAAAACTAACTAAAGAAATCATGAATGCATAGTTAAATGAAATTAATAATACCTTTTTTTCCTCTGTACTGATTCCAGTATTGATCAGAAAGTTCCAAACTACTTATTTTAACAGTTGCAATTTTTACATCAATTTTCTTTTAATTTTATAGTTTTATTGATGTACTTTATACACATTGGAAAAGTAATTCTTGCAACAAAAGCAGTAACTTGCAGTGTTTAGCTGTTTCTTGTAGAGCTAACGTATACAACAGATAATCATGTCATGTTTCACACCAGTGCTCAGGTTAGTGTAATTGTAACTTTAGGCATTTTATTTTACTGAAGTTCTGTTAGACAAAGCTGAGAAGTTTAAAATTTTTATATTTTAGATATTTTTGTTAAAAAATATAACAGTAAATACAAAATATACATAAAAATAAGGATTGTAGTATTCACTGCATACTTGAGCTGTTTGCACTCAAGTAAAAATATTTTAAGTTTTCCCATAAGCCTCATTGAGTCTCAAAAATTTGAATGAAAAAAAAATTTTGTAGCTTTCAAATGTGCATTTTAGAACACAAAAAATATATCGGGCAGTAGAACACAATGTCCAAAAACTACTGTAATTTATTAGGCTTTGAGCACCAAATTTAATCCAAAGAAGTTCTTGTCAACAATCAGATTATGTGGGAAAACCGAACACAGAATTTTAAGATTTACATAGTTAAGTATTTGCTCTTTTTGTTGTTGTAAACATGTAGATAAGCCACATAAAGTTGACTAGCAAAAAATCTTGAAAGTCTGAAAGAAGACTTCTCTCTGGTTGATTTAACAAACTTATCCATATCTCATCAAATCAAAAAGTTAGTGGTTCATACTTTATATTCTGGCTTGTATTTATATATATAGTCTATGTTTCTAATTGGTTGGAAACTGCAGCAGCTTATTTTAGAAGTTAGAAAAGTCTGAAGATGAGAAATTGAAGTTAAGGTATATCACATGACTCAGAAAAATGAAGATTGATGGATTTTTTGAGATTAGTAATATAAATTTAGATAATATGAAGCTTTTAGTTATAAATTACTTTTCTTGTGCAGTTTATTAACATTTCTGAATTAAATTTTGAGTTTAAAACTGTAAAAGATCATGACGTGCACACTTCAACCTGATCGTACAGAAAGAGTTAATTGATTACAGTCAACTAATTGATTATTCTCACATGAGATTAATCTTCCTACTTTCAGCTTGTTGTTGTTGTTTTTTCAGATATCTTTGAAGAACCCTTCATTTAGTATGATATACACCTTCAGTTAAAACAATTTAAGATTAAGTTACTTTTTTAATCCTAAACTGTTGTATGTGGAAATGTACCATGTACACAATGTAGAATCAGATCTGTAACAAGCTTAAAATGCAATTAACACCAGTCCATGGGTTTCTCCCCACAGATTTTACAAGTTTATTGAAACAAAATATGCTAATTCTTTGTTATAAATAATTTTCCTTGTATTTCTTATGATAAAACTAGTAAAAACAATTTTCACATAGTCACAACAAATTCACTCTAATTGTGTATAAACAAAAACAATACAACATTTACTAAATGACAAGAACACTTGTGATGGTACTAGATGACGTCTTTGCAGGGGTTCAAATTATAAGGCGTAAAGTAAAATGTTTTGGGAATCACTAATATCATCATCATGTGAAAAAAAAATCTTAATTACAGACATTTTGGATTTTTTTTTCTTGTTCTGTCATCATTGTGAAAAACTTTAAAAAATACTTAACAACTTTATAAGTGTAAAAACACCATAAGCTTTCAAGCAAAAGGTTGTTGATGTATATGGAAGTTTAGAAAGAACACATTAAAATGATTAATATGTTCACATTTTACAATGCAGTCTGAAAGAAACTGTAGAAACACATGCCTGCTGTGAAATCAATAAATGATACGACCGTACTAGGCAGAGTTTAAACGCTAGACAACAGCCGAACTTTAGTTTTACGTTTTCAGTGCTTCCTATCTAGCGAGAGCTAGTTGTAATTGAGCAGCAACCATGTTTGTGTAAATAATTTAAGGACTTAATGATATCACATGCTATTAGATTGAGCAGCAACCATGTTTGTGTAAATAAGTTAAGGACTTAATAATATCACATGCTATTAGATTGAGCAGCAACCATGTTTGTGGAAATAAGTTAAGGACTTAATGATATCACATGACTGGTGTTAGTCCACAGATGACATATATATAAAGTCATAATCTTGACTTGCCAGTCTCAAGACACTTTTCAGAAGACAAACATGACTTGTCTCATCTCAAACTTGTTCTAAGATCTACACCATAGACTGTTACTTACATGAAGAACAACACCCTATTTATACTCTAGGTACAATTTCTCTACATGGTTTAAATGAGAAATGTTTGTTTTGTATCTGTATTTCTGACATCTTCTGACTTTTCCCACCATTACTTCTCACGTATGAGTTTCATATTTCTTTACATCTTTTTTTTTCTGCTTCTCTTTCACTTACATCATTTCTTTGCAACAGTTAATTTGACAGTATTGTTACAACACATTTTGAATGATCTTTTGCACTTACTCATATTGTTAAATTTTTTAAATTATATTTGAATATGTTCTGTCTATACAACTTTAATTAACATCACCAGAAGAAGAGACTAAGCCCGAAACATTGTGTCAATTTAAGTTTTCCTAGATTTTATTACCATTGTATCTAGTGTTGTTGTTTTTTTTGTTGTTTCTTAAACTTTGTCCTAGGTCTTTTGTATAGTTTTTTGTGTCTGTATGCATTATTGTTGTCAGTCGGTGTCTATTAATTTCTGAAAAATACACTTAAATGAGCAAATTACTGAGTAATCCAAATTTTTTTGAGCAAATAAAGAATAATGAATATTTACTTGCCATAACTTTTTTGTTAAAGTAATCTTACCCTAAGTGACATTTTTGTTGTTTTTTGTAGCTTGTTAAAAGTACAACATTGTATTAAGATAAAACTATTATTTAGTGATACAAGATAAACACAAGGGGACATAACTGTGACTAATTATGTAATTGATGACCACTAAGCTAAATCCTTACCTTCATGAGTTGTGTATAATAAAAGTAGTAACAGCTAATATTTTGATTTACTTGGATAGTCATAAATACTAATTTTCAATTAGTTGATTACTTTTGTGAGTCATGACAGTAATAGATCAAGCTAAACAATCTTGAATTAAATAAAGATAATAATGACAAATCGTAATGAAAATATTTTGATTATTTAGATATCTGGAAGAATTATAAACAGCAATAATCTGTAACTAATTTAAAATTAGTAGATTTGTTTCATAATATTAATCAATGCAATGATGCTCGTAAATAATCGATTACATCAGTTACTGAAATTAATCACAAAGTATGCAGTGTTAAATAGTTATATGTTCGTCTGTTTTGTGCATCCTACTATAGTGAAATGTAAGTAACATCTGTTGGTATGTATTTTATAAGTTTGTAAAAATAGATCTGAAGTTTCCATGATGATTGTCCATAACAAAGTGTAACTATGGACTGGTAATCAAAGATGTGGGAAAATTCAATAGCTTACCTTAGTAAAATAGAACTAACTTACTTTTCAGTTAATGGATGCATGTTAAACTATGTAGTGTTGTCTGAGAATGAGATTAAATAGCAATTCCAGGAAAATAACAAAGTAGAATTGCACATGTATGTGATATTCAGCACTGTGAGGTACCAGTTAAAGGCTACCAATCAGCAGATGATTCATTTAGTTGTAGTTTATGTAGTCATTGTTTCTACCAAAAGATGGTACCATGAACATTTGTCATTTGATAATAATTGTCATATTAACTATTAAAATGGCTTATTGACTGATGCCAGAGTTAAATCGGGTGTCTATTCCTTCTTCAGAGCAAGAAGAAAAATGAACTTTGAAAACTCTAACGAGTTTTAGATAATTGGTTAGACTTGTTTGCTTCCCAATCCTAATGTGTATTACTCTAGTAATAATCCATGAAAATGATGCATTATGACAGAAATAATTGTTTCTCCCTTTTAAATCTGTTGAAGGTGCACTTTATCGAACCAGTGAGAAAAACAATAATACATATTATACACCGAATGAGAGAGAGCATTATCAACAGAAACCAATGGTCATAATTTTACTTATTAGCTCAGTTCATAAGTTGTCAGGATGATTCTAGAATAATTTGTTGTTTAGAAAAAGTTTTTTTTTGTATTGAAGTGGTTTGAGTGACATTACGTTACTATTAGACAAATAATAATTTAAAACAAGTCTTTCTTTACTAGCCCCAGTAAAAATAATATTATAGCATTTCAACCTCATACCTCAGTGCCAACAAGGCAGAAGAAGAAGGAAAAAAGCTTTCAAGGAAAGATGGTAGAAGGAACAAGTTGCCAAGGGTTCCAAACAGGGTCTGGATGAGAGTGTAAAGAACCACAAAAAAGTCTCAATTAGGCAAATGAACCAGATAAAGAAAAGGAGAAAGGAAGGACCAGGGAAGAAAAAATAGAACCATGGCAAAAAAGGTGAAAGGTGGCTGACAATGCCACATAATATCCTACCATGGTCTAGACTGACAGTCTCTAGTAAAACAGCCTTGTAAAAAAATTCAAATGATGGGCAACAGAAGAATGGCCCAGAAGCAGAGAGTGCCTGATGGACCAGTAGCAATAAAAATGCCACTTTTGTTAGAAAAAAAATTGAGTGAAAGGATGAATTGAGTGGTACAAAAAAGGGCAATGTAATATGATAATTTGCCAGTTAAGGAAAGATTGGACAATCCCACATGTCAAAACATAAGGGTGATGCTCCTGGATAAAAGAGTAATGTAAAAGGTTTGAGCAAGAGGAACCTCTATAATGGAAGAAGAAGTGCCTAAGAATAGCAGTCAGTGTAGGAAAGGAAACAGAGCTGGCAAATATGGTGCTGTCAACAAAACTCGACAAGGAATGTCACAGAACATCACCAAGATATGTGGGATAGGTGGATAGCAGGGAACACGTGCAGAAGAGAAGAGGCCAATACAAGCAGAAGGTGTTCACAGCCAGAACAGCCAATTTTGGATCTGGGAACAAAAAGAGCTGAGGTTTCTAGACATTCCATGACTTGAAAACAAAATAGGAAAAGATGATCTTGAATTAGGTGCATTGAGAAAAGGACCACAAGATGAATCAAATATAGAGGTGGAGTCAGAAACAACCAAAATATAAGACCAGTCATTCCAGATGAACAATCTCTCATGGAATAATAAATGTTGCTATAGATACGGTCTACCAAGGAGAAGCAAAAAGTAGCCAAATATCCAGAAAGGAATGGAAATGAAGGCTGAGACTGCAAACATAGCAAGCAAAAGTCATTATGACCTGGCTGAAGACATAAAGAGCAAAAACCATATTAAAAGGTAGAGCCTTAAACCAGTAGATCATATCATGATGTACAAACAGAAGGAAAAATCATATTGATGTAGTTATTAGAATGTTAAGAAATAAATCTGAGCCATGGACTGCCTTCATTCAAAGGCCAGGAGAAACAACCTATTAAGAGGAAGAAACCTCTTTAACTAAAACTGGGGGATCATCAGAAGTGATTCAGAGAAGAAGTATGATGAGGGGATGTCAGTCCCTAAGATTCAAGAGGACAAGGCAGAGATAAGAATAGTAACACAGAGAGGAACAAGTGACATTCTCTATGGTATTCAAAACCAAAAGTTGCAACATTTTGTTCTTGAGAGAGTGGAGGTGCTGAGGATCAGAAGATTGAAGGAAAAAAAATGGGTAAAGAGGGAGAGGAGGAAGAGTTAGAGACAGTGGATAAGAACCTAATTTACCCTGATGTTTTATTTTCCTTTCTTATCCTTTATTACGTATTATTCATCTTGACACAAGTCAACGGTGTCCTCGAGACATATTACAGTGTTTCTAGCAGACATGTGCAACCCTTTGGCGAAATTCTCTTGCATCATGTAATATCGGAAACCTTGAGAACTGATGCAAAATATGGTGTATATTTAAAAAAATGTTTAAACCATTTAATTACGCATTTTAAAACATTACTAATACATAATTAACTGAAATATAAGAGTAACACCTAAGTACAATTTAAACTGTATCTTTAACTATAACATATTTAGGTAAGAAACAACCGTATGTGCTATAGTTGATCAAGCAGCCAACAATACTAGAGTCAGTTACATGTACTACATGGTGATAACTGCATGCCATTTTCAAAGTAACCACTGCTAGATTATAGTGTAAAATGAGCTTTTTCTAATGAGTATAATGTGTATGTAACATCTACATGTAGGCTACAAAACTCAAACAAGTCTGTTGAAAGTGGGTGTAGCACCCATCAGGGTTGAAAAGATTTGTTATTTGTTTCAACTGTATTCATTCAGAGATCTTTGAAATGTGAGAGTCAAAACGTTATGCAAGCAACTACCATTCTATTATTGAAGATACAGAAAAACAAAGTAGAGAATTTTCATAGCTCGTTGGTCAAATGACAATAGATCTGCCATTTTAAGTTGTTTTTTAAAGGTTTTTTTTAAATAAAGGACTTAAAATTTAGATAACATAAAACTTTGAATCATAACATACATTATAATGTTTATTTCATTCACACAATAATAGTAAAGATGTTTTATTAAATTTTGAATGTAACACAGTGACTTGTGCAGAAAATCATTTAAAGGGGCACCCATTGCAAAAGGGTTAATACAGACTGGATGAACTCTGCAATTTCAACTATTGCTCATTGTTTAATCAAATCAAAATCCATAAGTTATATTTAATTTGACTGGGTATTTTGTGAAAATGTGAAGGGGCAAATAGATTTTTAAGGACAAGTAGCTTTGTCTGACATTCTGGCCCTTTGACAAGAATTTTATTTTTCAAAATTTTCACACAATGTGGTTTAATGTCACACTTTATCAGCATAAGGCACTGCATACCATTAAGAGTTTTTATATCGATTTTTGACTACATACAGTAAAGTTTTTGTGTATTTTGTAATAAATATAGTTCTTCAGTAGCCCTTTCATGATCTTCTAGTTTTTTTTTCTCTGTGTGAAACCCAGAAGTTGAGTCTTCAGTTTGTGTTAAACTTTCATGTGTGTAAGGTTTATGTATGCAGTTTAACCTCTGTTTCTGTGTGAAAACATTTTCAACCATCATTATCCTGCTGGTTTATTTCTTACTTCCTCAATTTTTGTATGAATAATAATACTAACTTGATGTTGAATAATTTTTTTCAACTAATATTTATGAAGGCTACTGATGTAAGATGAAAATAATGAATCTTAATAGATAAACATTGGTTGGTTTCCAGGTTCATAAGTGCTATAGTCAAGGTACTTACAGAGCAGGGCCAGTCCATCAGGTCAGCTTGGTAGGAACAGTGCATGAAGAAGCTGGTGGATTTTTTCCTGAAATCCTGGACATGCTGGAAAAATGTCCATTCTTAAAGTTGACAATGCCCTGGGGATTTTTATCATCTGTACAAATGGCTTCACCTCAGGAAAGTAACGATGGTCCCATACTGTGGATACGTCCAGGGGAACAGGTGGTTCCCACTGCTGACATGCCAAAATCTCCTTTCAAAAGAAAAAGGTACTTAAAAAGCATAAATAATAAAAAAAATGTTTAATAACCAAGAAACTTGTTTTGAAAAAAAAGAGCAAAAATTATTTTTTAACACTACATAATGTAGCTGTAAACAAAGTAGTGTTATTAGTTTTCCTGATGTGCTTGAAAAAATTTATTTTGACAGAAAAGTTGATAAAATGAAAACAAATATAAGATTACATTTAGGTGATTTTTAATGTTTTGAAATATTCAAAGATTGTCTTAAATTTTTACATTTAGTTATCCATATTTATTCACACACTATATAAAAATATGGATAACTAAAGCATTGCGTAAGCCTAAGCATACATTTTTATAATGGTTTTGTCTGAAAAATTCACATCAATTGTAATATCAGCTGATTTTGAAATCCTATATTATGTTATTGATGTGGTTCATAACTTTTCCAACTAATGTCACTAAAAACAATAGCTCAAAACAGAATAAGTGTTAACAGGGCAAATAAGGACCTTACTTTTTGTTATCATTCATTTTATTCTAACAGCTTCAGACATATTGGGTTTTTTTTTCACATCAAGTCATTTTCTAATGCAAGAAGGTTAAAAATGTTCAAATTCAAGAGATAGAGTATAAGCTCATTAATGTTCAAGGATTACGTACATTAACATATAGGAGTGGATCAAATGAACTACGCAATCTTCAGTACCTTCCTCGAGCCTCAGAACCCAGAGAAACTATGTTTGAAGACCGTACTAAATGTCACGCTGACCATGTAGGCCAAGGAATAGACAGGCTAACAACAGCTGCTGTAGGTGTCCTGAAGGCGGTTCACTGTGGAGAAGGGTAAAATATTTTGTGATTATTTGATGCAAAATATATTTGAAGTTGTAAGTTCTCTCTCTCTCTTCTTTTTTATTTACTCAAATATTAAACAGAAGGTACTAAATCATGAAACAACAGGCATTATGTCACATGTCTACCATTGTAATGCTGTTGATTTTGGAGAGAAATAAGTGTCAGGGTTTTTGATAACACAGAATTCAGAGTATTTTATGCACAGATTTTGAAGTTCACACATAAAAATCACATCATAAAGATAATTCACGAATAAGAAGTTTGGTTATATTTGTCAAAATAGTATAGAAATGCATTAGTTTCTAATGCTGAATGATTTTAGAGCAATCGTCAGTATTAAACACATTTATACTTTTGAGGCATTAGGTGCATGTGCATAGTATACGTTGCAAATTGGCTTGACCCGTGTAAACAGTAGCTGAGTTCATGGATGTCATGTGGTTTCCTGTTTGTGCAGAGACCTTAGTCACAAAACTATGGGCCTGGCATGGCTAGATGGTTAGGGCGCTCGACTCGCAATCTGCGGGTCGTGGGTTCGAATCCCCGTCACACCAAGCATGCTTGCCCTTTCGGCTGTGGGGGAGTTATAATGTGACAGTCAATCCCACTATTTGTTGGTAAAAGAGTAGCCCAAGAGTTGGCGGTGGGTGGTGATAACTAGCTGCTTTCCCTCTAGTCTTACACTTCTAAATTAGGGACGGCTTGCGCAGATAGCCCTCATGTAGCTTTGTGCAAAATTCATAACAAACTACAAAACTATCAGTGATATGAGAAAGAACTATCAGACTGATTCATTTATTTGAGTGGCTTGTTAATTAATCACTTCTAAATAGTCTGACCTTCATGCCTACAGCTTACATTCAAAAGAAACAACTTAGATCAGATTATCAAACAGCTTCTTTGTAAGGTTGTTAATAATTGATCATGAGCTGTTACTTGTTGCATCTTTGATGACCAATGGTAACCAATGATCAGCCTAATTATTAGACTAAAGGCTACATACTTGGACTTGTAAGTAGTACATGATCACAAAAGAGTTGTTTTAAAGATTTCAAAGCTTTACCTCAGAATTTGACACCCAAAGCTATTTCACCCTCAGTTCTAAAATTCTGTGGAGAATCCTGACATTCTTCCAGTATATCTGGAAATTAAAAAATCTGTTAGCAATAATTGTGATAGACAGAGGTTTAGATAAAAGTACAGGAGTTTTTTTTATATATGAAGCAAAACTAAAATTTATTCAAATATTTATACTGCATAAAATATTTGTAGCAAACTTGCTTGTGCATTTTATTGTAAATTGTTATGTTTCTTAAATTTATATTGACTTAATACTGGTACGTTTAAAAGTACTGAAAAAAATTGCATTGGTCTGTCTTTTTCTCACTCATTCCAGTCTTTTATATCCCACCTAATGGCCCTTGGTGATGTTTGTCTCATGACTCTCCACCTATGTCAATGCACTCTCTATCTTGGTACTGTATATAAACACCTCATTCAGATAATGTTATCACTCTTTCTTAGCAAAGCGTCACTAATGGGTTTCCCAGTACTACAATAGTAGTAGGGGGAGGTCACTTGGTTGAGACTTCAGTGACATTATTTGAACTGAGATGGAGACATATTTTGTTCTGTGACGTTCCTCCGGGGGACTCTGAGGGTGATTCTCAACATTCTGAAGATAATTTAGATTCACTTTATCCTGTGCCTTCTTTCAGTCTTTTGGTTTTTCAGTACCCCTGTGAGACAGTGGTGAGTTTATGGACTTGTAACACTGAAATCCGGGGTTTGATTCTCTATAGTGAACACAACAGAGAGCCCAACGTTGCTTTTCTCCAACAAAACAAACTTAGCTGACCAAATGTTGTTCCAATCAACAGTAATCAACACAGTCTTTAAATTCGATAAAAATTCAATAAAAAACTGTCCCATGTTTTTCACCATTGCAGCTCAAAAAACCATAGTATATCTATTAAAAACACAGTCATTTTAAACAAAGAACCCAACATAA